CGTTAGTATGTAAGTGTTTGTCATATTATAAAGGTGTCATTAAATATCAAACCTATGTCTGTATTCGGGACAAGCTGTCTGAAGGGGGCACTGCAGAGGCATGGGCATCCCCGCGGATGCTGTTTACAGTGTGAACTTCCCTTCTGTTCCCTGATAGGGTTGTTCAGACTAGAGAACACTAGAGACAGGGCGCCTTTGACCTCACAGGCCATTGAGAGATAATGGAAATGGAAGTTTCTGTTGTCTTACTATAGTTGCAAACAAAATGATGCATCATGACACCAAGTGTTGGCCCTTGTGTGAAGTCTGAATGGATCACTTTTGAGGTCAGGCCTGGGAATCGAGTGTAGTACATACCGTACACTTGAATCTAAGTGTAACGGAACATGTACTTTCTTTATAATAACTCTGTCCAAGTGCTATAGTGAGTTGCCATAGTGATGGTTGGAATGGACCATGTCTTCTTCAGGTGGCAGGCCAAAAGAAGCAAGAACAAGAACCTAAAGAGCAGGCGGTGGACCCTACCATTTGTCTCCAGCTGCTTGATCAGCATCTCCCAACAATGTGGAACTATCACCAGGAGCCGCCAGGATCCCCAGAGCATGCCTGATCACAGCCTTCTTCTGTTTTCCTGTAACTGTGGAATATTTGCCTTCTGAAGTATATAGCCAGCTGCTTCAATCTTTTGTACCCATTCACAATGTCTGAGAGCTGAGCACAAAGCAGGTATCAATAAATATTTACTAGATTTGCACATGTTGGTGGTCATGTGTGTCCTTATGTGCTGATATCTCTGGCCATTCTGTCTGCTTTTCACTTCTGTGGGCCAAGTTGTCTGTCTGGAACCCTTTGCTTGCCAAAAGTCTTAGAAGCCTTTTTACTGTACAAAATGGTTTTGAAAGCAGTTTCAAAGAGTTATGTTCAGTTATGGATGCTGTCAGATTAGGAACCAGACGTGATGCAGCTTGCACAGTCCTCAGAGTTCCTAGCTCAGTTCTGAGCACAGCATCTACTACATACCTGAAGATTAATTAAAGCTAGATCTAATGGATTAGCATATGCAAACCCTATAGGGGGATATGCAACAGCATTTCTTCCTCGGCAGAATACCCACATGCTCATTTCCCTGAAAGTTCTTTCTTATCTTTTGTATATCCCATCCACTCCTATACATCATGAAACCACAAGTGACTGATAGCTAAATGTCCCATGCAGTTGCCACTTTCTATTTATGAAGTCCTCAATTGTAGTGGTTGGGTTACCACAACCACAGACTCATCTGTCTCTGCAGGAACCCATTTCACAAGCTGATACCTTCAGAGGAGGATCTCAAGCCAAGTCAAACGACGCTCAAGCACATGAACCAACAGCCAGCTGTGATCCAGAGACTCTATACATAACTTTCAGACTTTTCAACAGTATACTCATTACCTTGCCCAAAAGATGAGGCTTGTGATCGGTTGTTCTGTACAGCTGAGTCCTCTGAGACAATGGACACTATACAAACAGACTCCTGTCCCTGGGTCTAGGATGAGGAGCAGCCAACTGTGGCCCATAGGCCAGATCCTGCTCACCTTTTGCTTTTATATGGCCAATGAGCTAAGAATGATGTTTACATTTTAAATGGTTGAGAAAAAGAGTATTTCATGCTATATGAAAGTGATATGCAATTTAAATTTCAGTGTCCACAATTAAAGTTTTACTAAAACCCAATACATTCATTTTCATACTAAGGCATGCTTTCATAGCACAAAGTGGAGCGGAATTGTTGCCATAGAGATGATATGGCCTGCACAGCCCTTTTACAGACCAGCACTGCTAAGCCCTTGGCTGGAAGGAAGCCAGGGTTTAAAGAAATGATAAGGACAAGCAATGAAATGAAAGGACAAGCGTAGAGCGCGGAGACCCAGAGAACTTTCTGTGTGTGTGGAATCTGAAGTTGTTTCACGCAACATTTCCTTCCTGGGGCTTTAACTATTTCATATGGAGTGTGTGTGTGTGTGTGTGTGTGTGTGTGTGTGTGTGTGTGTGTGTGTTTGTGTGTGTGTGTGTGTGTGTGTGTGTGTGTGTGTGTGTGTGTGTGTGTTGGGGATGGGGGGCAGTATTCAGGCCAGAAACAGCAGGTGTTTCTGAATGAATTATTCTTCCACATTTAAGATCCATCCCACTCTCTACCCCTGCCCCAGGCCAATCTCTGCTCATAAATCCACTTCCACATTAGAATCAAATCTGAGAAACTCAAGTTTCTTAATCCACTATGTTGGGATATTTCTCTTCATTAACTCAAGTTAAATACAATGTGAGCTTTATCAGAGCCCCCTGATTTGGTGTTAGACTTTGGGCAGATCAGAGAAATTTCCACCAGAAGGCATGTGCAGGGTGCCCAGAGTAACTGCCTCATCTGAACTTGCTCTTTGCCTTGCCCTTTGGGAAAATTGCTCACAACATAACCTTTCCTTGTCTGTACTCCCAAGAGAGGCTCAGTGACTCCAGACTCAAGAGAACAAGAGCAAGGAGCAGCACAGCACTGCCAGACCCCGACTGCCCTGGGACAGCATCACGCAGAGTGTGTATAACTTCTAGTGATGCCTTAAAGTTTGATTTTACTTGAGTTTGGAGGCTGGGTTTTGTTTTGCTTTTCATAATAAATAATTTTGTATGGTTTGCATATTTGCAACAAGCATGTATTACTTTTATTGTAGAGGGTTGCCTTCAGAAGGTAAAATACACAAAAACGAGAAAGGAAGGCAAACTTCACGAGGGAGGCAGCAAAGCTTCCATGTGGGTGAGACCATTCGCTGAGGGGCTAACAGCCTGGTGCAGCTTCCTGCTGGATGACAAAAGGGAGAGCAGGGAAATTTGGCTCCCCACCTGACTGGAGGCCCATGGAGAAGGTGGACTTGTGTCATTTGATCTTTGGTTTTGTGTAGGAAAGAACCTGGCACACAATGAATACTGAACAACCAAGTGAACATGCAAGTCTGCATAGAGAGGCACTAGCAGCTGTTTCTAAAATGACAGTTCATTATAAGCTGACATTTCTATGCCTTTGTGTGAAGCAAACTTCTATTAGCAAGCGTCCGTTCTCTGCTCAAATGAAGCAAGCATTAGTTAAACGTCAAGAAGCAAATGCATAAGAGGGACCATCTGAGTTAGGAGGGAGTGAATGGGATGAGAAAGGGATAAGTGTCACTAGAGGGAGATGACTCACTTTCACCTGAAAAGTGGCAGCAGCATGCAGCAGGTCTGATTTCGCATTGGAGTGCTGCTCCTGTGCTTCCTATCCAGCTCCCTGCTATGGACCCCGGAATGCAGTGGAAGATGGCCCAAGTATTTGGGCTCCTGCCCCAATGCGGAAATCATGGCTCCTGGCTTTGGGCTGGCTCGCACCTGGCTGTTGTGGCCATTTGGGGTGGAAATCGATAGATGCAAGATTTCTCTCTCTCTCTCTCTCTCTCTCTCTCTCTCTCTCTCTCTCTCTGTCATTCTGTATTTCAAATACACAAATCTCTCTCTCACCATATGGAAATTTCAATTATCAAGCTAGCCTAAGGTTCCAGAGTCCTAAACTCAAGGATTGAAATGATTAGGAATCTATAATGTAATAGAGACTAGGTATAAATCAATGGCTACTCTGAATTGAGTTTGGTAACAGTTAAGGTTAAAGAAGGGCAGCAAATTGCACCTCCATGTTTTCTCTATGTTAAACATGCTTATTGCACTATTTAATATTATTTAGCTTTAGTTTTTATATTTGTGCACATGATTACACAAGGAGTCATTGCTTTAGTATAGGTATTGGATGAGAATCGTGCCATTTAGATTGAACTATGGGCCACTTAACATTGTCCTAGCATGGAAGTGCCCTAGAATAGCTCACACAGACTGAATCACAGTGTCAGGGAGTTTATTAAAACACAGTCTGGAGTCCTACATGATGACTCAATGGCTAAATCCTCACCTTGAAAAAACCGGCATCCCACATCTGCCCCAATTCATGTCCCTGTTGCTCCACTTCCCACCCAGCTCCCTGCTTGTGGCCTGGGAAAGCAGTCTTTAGGACAGCCTAAAGCCTTGGGACCCTGCACCCATGTGGGAAATCTGGAAGAGGTGCCTGGCTCCTGGCTTTGGATCAATTCTCACAGCCCTTGCAGCCATTTGGGGAGTGAATCAGTGCATGGAAGACTGTATCTTCTTCCCTTTGTAAGTTCAATCCACCTTTCCAATAAAAACAAATAAATCTTAAAACAAAAACAGTCTGCTCTAACAGCACTCTATGGCAATTCCTAGATGGCTGATTCATAGGATCTCCATTTGGCTTCATGCATACCCAAATTTAAAAACATTGAAATATAAAGGCAGGAGTTGACACTGCGGGGCAGTAGCTAAACTTCTTCCTGCAGCGCCAGCATCCTACATGGGCACTAGTTTGAGTCCTGTTTGCTCCACTTCCCATCCAGCTCCCTGCCTGTGGCCCGGGAAAGCAGTAGAGGATGGCCCAAGGCCTTGGGACCCTGCACCCGTGTGGGAGACCTGGGAGAAACTCCCAGCTTCAGATCAGCTCAGTTCTGGCCATTGTGGGGAGTGGGAGTGGGGAGTGAACCAACAGATATAGATTTTTTTCTCTCTCTAAAAATTTGCTTTTTAAATAAAAAATCTTTAAAAAAAAGAAATATGAAGCAAAATCTGCACATTTCTGCATTTGGTAGTATATTTAATGATCCTGATTGTGACAATATAAAGAAAAAGAATAATAATGCAACAAGGACATTTTCAATGCTAGTTAATCTTTACACATGATGCACATCTATATTGCAACCTGCAAACATGTTTCTGCTCTAGGCTGGGATGTGTACGGCCAGCAGCATAAACAAAATGTACTAAACTGATCTAAGTTTCAAAGAAATCTTTTGTTTCTACATTGTTAATTTGAAGATAATCTAATAAGCAGCACAGAGAGCATTATTAAGAATCAGCAAAATTGTATTTTGCCTATTTCCTTTCTATAAGAAGAAGAAGAATGTTGGCCAGATTTCTATTCATTCTCATGTTCACTCTGCATTTCTTCTTCCAGGCTTGTCTTTCTCCCGAAGTGGTTCAATGGAACTGAGGAGTTGTTGAAATGTGGGACGCTTTTCTGGAAGCTAAATAAAAGAAATATACAATGTTTTAAAATGATGGAAGCTATGATTAAAAATAAAAAATAGGGGTGGGCATTATGATTCAATGATTTCTGCCACTGCCTGGAATACCTGCAACTTGTATTAGAGTGCCTGGTTCAGGCCTTGGCTACTCCACACTTCTTATCTAGCTTCTTGCTAATGGGCCTGTGAAGGCAGTGGATGATGGCCCAAATACTCAGGTTCCTGATACCCAGGTGAGAGACCCAGTTGGAGGCTTTTGGATGCAGCCTGATTAGCCCTGTATGTTATGGGTATATGAGGAGTGAAGCAGTATTTGGAAAATACCTTGTGTGCACCCTCTCTCACTGTCATTCTGCTTTTCAAATAAAGGATTTTTTTTTAAAAAAGAACAAAGTAAAAAAAATGTATATTTCAGTCTTGAAACTTGAAATGTGGAAACATTACTGACATTCCTACTAAGGTGAGGAACAAAGCAAGGATGCCCACTGAACCCAGCCCTTGTAACATTGTATTGAAAGTGTTAGCCAAAGCAATTGGAAAGTGAAAAAACTAGAACCCCAAGAATTAGAAAAGAAAAAGGAAATGTGTCTATTTGCATGCAATATGGTTGTATACCTGGATACTCCAATAGTATCAATGTGTGAGCCAATTCCAACCATACAATTCATCAGGAGGACAGGATGTAAAATTAACAACTAAATCAGTAGCCTTGATAGGTATCTTTCCCTTGGACGATAAGTACCTATAGTAAGCAATTAGAAGACACTATGGGGGAGAAAACCCATAGCACTAACAGCACCCAAAAAGATATTTTAAAAATTTAGCCCACCACAAGTACTGTTGAAAATTGTATGTATTTACACTCCTTATCGTAGAAATAGGACATATTAATGTTTAAATGATTTCAGATTTCCCAACATGAAAAAAATACATTCTTTTAAAAAATATGAGTGAGTTTGTTTCAAACTAAACAAATTGTTTCTTTAACACATAGATTTTCTAAAAACATGCAAACCAAACATGGTTAGGAAACTATATTGTAAGCTAAGCAATGAAGAAAAGATGTGTTACTTAGTGTCAAAACGCTGCAATTCATTTGTCTACTTAAAACAAGGTGATGTCTGTACCTACATTAGAGCCTCAGGATACAAGAATGAACCCACAACGAAATGACAGTCTCCTACAGGGCTGGGAGATACCCCAGTGGAAGCATGATGGACTTGGGAAAATTCACAAAGACACACACTGTGAAACTGGAGGGGACAACAGAGTGGTGGGGAGGGAACTTGGGGGAGGGGAGAGCCCAGTGTCAGCTAAATTTTATCAAAAAATAATCTTTAAAAAAGGTGATGTTTGCACATGGATAAAAGAACAGAAGAGAAGACCCCAAATAAACACAAATACATACGAGAATTAGTGCAGCACCAATGGGATATGTGTGGCAGGTGCACATACATTTGGGCCATCCTCTGCTGCTTTTCCCAAACCAATAGCAGAGAGCTGGATCTGAAGTGGAGCAGCCTCAAAGACAACTCTACCAACTACGCCACAACGCCAGCCTCTCAAATATATTTTTGCACCCAAATAACCTGATTCTTAATCCCATATTCCAGAATTTTTTGAAGTACCCTCATACACGTGCTATGAGTTCTTAAGTTAATATTCTTCTAAGTCCCCTTTTATTGTGTCACTATGCAGAAGTCTTGAAGGTTCCCTGTCATCTACAAAAAAAAAGCAAAGCTTGCACTTTTTCCTTTTCCATAATTTTGCAGGCTCTGGCGCAGACCTGCTGCTTAGGATGGATTTGCGGCATTTCCCAAGCGTGCCGTAGCTGAGCACAGCGTGCTCCTTCTGGCCTCTGCACAGTGCATGTGCTGATCTCCCTTCGCCAACGTGTGCATTCACACCAAGGACATCCCTGATTTGGTTTGAACACCACAGCATTAAGGAAGCTGCTTTTCCTGCGAGCTCTGCTTGTACTCATCTATCTTTCTGATTTGGGGGGGTGACTGATAAACCGCTTGGTGCTTTGAGTCCCATTGGGAAGATCTGGGCAAGTAGATAGGCTCTTGTCCATTATGTGTCTCCTATGTGGGTAGGTGCTCTTGGTCACACATTTTCTACCATGGGGTTATGGTTCAGAACAGTGACCGTGGTGCTATAGCCAGCCTGCTTCTGACCAGCTGTGGCAAGTCACCAAACCTCTCAGGGCCTGCTTCCTCTTCTGTTAGTTTTACTGACAGAGTAGGTAGTACTCTAAATGTGTTCCAAGGAACACACAAGTTAATGTGCATTAAACTCTCAGAACAGGGCTGGGCATACATTGTTCAGTAAGTTGAGGACCCTTGCACTGTCTTAGTTGATGAACACTTGAGAGCAGCAGTACCATTTCTCCCAGTCCTGTGACAGGTGCTTTCCCTCAGCATAGTTTTACTGTGGTGCTGATGCAGGCACTGCCCGTGATGCGCTTAGGGTCCCTTCCACCTCTCCCAGGGGGTGCACTTGCCTCATGCCAGCAGTTGTACATGATCTGGTAGATGGTGTCTGATGCCAGTTGGGGCCGGTAGAGTCTGTGGCCCTGGGAGACCTTCACAACCACCTGGGAGTTGTCATACAAGTCATAGGGCTGCTTCCCCAGGCTGAACACCTCCCACATCAGGATCCCTGCATTGCATTGATGAAACAGAGAGAGAAACAGAGAGAGAGAGAATCAGAAGGTACAGGATTTATGGAGTGGACTTCACATCCTACATCAGGGAGACTATGAACCAAAACAAAGGATCTCTGAGAAATAAGTCCTAGAGAGAAGTGAAGGCCATGGGGACCTTGGGGGGAGCAGGGCTTGCATCACCATGTCTGTGTGACACCTAGGGGTCATCCTCACTTTCCTGACACCTAGACTCCTGGAGGAATGGCAAAGGGAATCCCCAGAGGGTATCTCTGGGTCCCAGATGCTGCTGGGGCAGAGAGGGCAGGGCTCTGGTTCAGCTTCCCAAAGACAGCCAGCAGAATGAGGAGCCCAGCTCAGCCCTTCTGAGTGACTGCTGGTGCTCCTCCCCTTGTCCTGCGCCCTGCCTTGGCACTTGGTGCACCCATTGTGTTATACACACAGATCCCAGGAGGGGCAGTCTGAGGGTGGGCTCTCTGTGGCCATTCCACCTTCTGCAATCACTGCAGTGTTTCCTCATCTGTTATGGTTCAGCCCTCCTTTTGGGAATCCAATAAAACCCACTGGCTCTGCACTGGGCAAGTAAAGACATGCCACGTTTGTGCTCCATTTCAAATGTTCATGGTTCCCCAACACTCCTGCAGGCCACCGTGGACTCCAGAGTAGGAAACTGAGCACAGGTGAGCTGCGTTAACTCTTTTCAGCTTCAGCTTTCCTGTCTGGAAAGGAAGATGCCTGCACTTGCTCGGAGGGAGCGGAATGAACAGCGTGCAGCTAAAGGGCGGCTCTGGGCAAGTCCGGGGCGTTTCCAGCCGGCAAGCAGGTTTAAAACCTTGGAAAACAAAAAATAGATGCAAAGGAGGAAAATTACTGTAAGATCATGATTTTTTTTCACGTTTAAGGCTATAGATTTGTAAAATATGAATGATAAAGTCATCTTACGAAGTATTCACACACACACACACACATACACAGAGTAAAACAACCATCTAAAGGAGCACTGCTTCACCGTTCATTCCTTGGAGAATATCATTGATCACAATCTCCGTGGGGCTTGCCTTTGCCAACTGCTCTCAGAGGCACAATCATTTTGGAGCTCCTCATTGAGCACAAATTGCTTTAGAATTGATTCAGTGTTTCTAAACAGCCAGAACGCGGGTGGGGCCAAGTTGTGCTGCATCAGGTGAATTATTAAGCTGAGTAATGCTATCTATCAAAATCAAGTGCTAGCTATTGAATGAAAGCCTGCCTCAGACACATCAACTGATACTTGGCCTGGAAACCCATCCTGACACAAGGTGCAGAAATTAATCCCCACAAACTGATATCAAGCATTCTGGATGATTTTTCTTTACCTACATACATTTGTGGGGAGTTTTTTTCCCTTTTAACAATGCCACTTTTAAGAAGGGAATGGTTATGTTTTGAAAATTGTGTCACAGACAAACGACTGGCTAACTCAATTTTCCTTCCTCCAGACAATCTTGCAGTTGTCAAGCAATAAATCCAATTACACTTATGGAATAAGACAGGCATGAGATAGGTCTCAGTCAGATTTCATATATTTTATAACTTTATGAGAATCAGTGACTGTGAGAACTCTTGACACTTAGCTCAGAGAAAACTATCAGAAAATCCACCGTCACAATGCAACAATGAGTTTCCTTTCCTAATCACCTTTACTAAAGTTCTTTTAATAACACAGGAGTCTTCAAACTTTCTGAATAGAACCCAAAGGAAGCATCTTAAGCTCTGTGGGTCACACTGCACCTGTGATGCCTTCCATTGTCTGCTGCTGCAGTACAAAATCGGATACAGACCATATGAGAATGAGTGACCATGGCTTTATTTCAATAAAACTGTATTTATAGAAACAGGCCATGTCAGTAGGTCCTGGCTTGTGGCATATCAACTCCGATCTAAAATGGGGATTTTAACAAGAAGAAGGATGCCCATTTAAGATTAGATACAAGCCAGATAAGCTACCCGGTCACATCTGGAGTTTACACTAGGGATGTCCAAAGCTTTGGTTGACTCAGAAGGAAACGGTTGTCAGCTGCAGTCACAACAGCACTCACTTGATTTTCATCCTTTCATTATTTTGGATTTCTAGCAACCCAGATTTAGTTTTCAAGAATTCCTTTGAGAAGGTGATTTAAAATCTTCCCAGGGAGGCGTTTTATGTCTTCGGCTTTTATGAGAAAGCATTAGCAGGTTACCAGTTTTGAAAGGTGTGGCAAGGCAGACTACTAGCTGACCCAAGAAAGAAAAAAAAATGAATTTTCTCACCTTCTCGCTTATCCCAGGCCATGCCCGTGATTTTGTAAGTGCCAAGGGCCTTTTAAAGAGGCATTCCTGCCCTTGCGGCTGCCTCTTGTGGAAGCAAGCTTATGAAACAGGGCCGGGCCCCGCGTGGCCACATGCTTACCAAATGCCCACACGTCAGACTTGCTGCTGTATTTGAAGTAGTGAAACACCTCTGGGGCTGACCACTTGACCGGAAACTTTGTTCCCACCGAACTGACATACTGGTCATCCAAGACATACCTGTGGGGGGAGACACAGACAGCCCTTGACCTCATGGCAGTGCCAGGTGGCGAGGCAGTGCTGTTAGTGCGGTCTCTGTGCCACTGGCCAGGGACTGTGCCAGTGCTTGCAGGCTGCCCCACAGGCCACAGGCACTCAGCCATCCCAGGCTCTCTCACAGGATGGAGGCACCCAGCAGGCATTTAAGGACTGTTTCTTGCCTAGAAAGACCCATAGGTCTGTGTTCATTTCCTCTGGAAACACATGGAGAATGTCCCTGCCACTTAAATAGGATGAGGCTTGAGAACAAAGGGAAGGGAAGGTTCTTTCCAACTGCTATCATTGAAGTTTCTCCGAGAGTCTCAGAATGTGTTTTAAAACCTGTTTGCTGAAGTGGAGAATTCAGTGACAACAAGAGCTTTCCTAGGGTAATGCTTTGTTCATTTGAGCAGAGCCTTTTTAAAAAGCTCCCAAACAAAGAGAGCTAGAGGAGCCTTCCCCGAGTTCAAATATACCATAAGCATTTGCCCAAACAATGCTGCTGGAACATCTGGTATTTAAATATTTAGGCTCTTTGATGGAATTCACTCATAAGTTTATAAAATACTAGAGTGCTGAAGGAACTTGAAAAAAGTGGCTTCAGATGGTTCCCAAAGAGCAATCCCATTTTACAAGTGAAACACGCCTCACAGGGAAGCAGAGGCAGCGCGGGGGCGGGAGGCAGCTTCCTAAGCCAGCAGCTAGCCAGCAGCTAGCCAGCAGCTCACAGCGCCTTCTGGATCTGCTCAAGGCGCTTGGCTGTGCTGGCGTTCAAATGACAGTGAACCCCCACTCCCCGTGCCGTCCCTTTGCTCGGCCTACCGCGTCATTCCGAAGTCCGAGACTTTGACGGAGAGCTCACTGTCCACCAAGCAGTTCCGCGCTGCCTGTGGGCGACACAGTCACACCAACTTCTCAGCAAAATTGGACTGCCTGTCACAACTCCAAATGCTCTCAAGCTTGATTTTTTTTCTTTGTACTTCTCAGTTTTTCAACAGAAATGTGCTCCTCGAGGTGTTTTCAGCCACGCATTCACCCTGCTCAAGCAGCAGGAGTACAGAAAACCCCTGGGCTCACTGTCTAGGCAACAGGCGTCGGCAGGCACTGCCAAGGCCTAAATGCTGGGCCAGGGCCTTGGGCAATGCACTTGACCTAGCGTGCGTGGCATGTTTGCCACTCAGCACAAGAAAAGCTCTAAGGGCAGACCCCAGTGAGCGCATTCCCCATCCTCCCCCCGCCCACCATGGCATTACTCCTGATTTTTCATTTTTTTGTATTTTTATTTCTATCAAATGACTACTTCAACATCAAGTTATTCCTGGATTTCAAAGGTCACCTTGGCTTTCATGGATCCAAGAAACACTAAATTGGTCAACATTTTCCTTTCCATTTGTCTTCCTCCATACCAAACTCAGCTACACAGATCTTAATGGTTCACTCACTCTTAACTGTTCTTCCTATGTAGAAGTATTTTGTGATACGTGTTTATTATAAAAATGCTATGTGCTTTGCAGTGACAAGTGAGTAAAGTGAAAGCGAAGGGGCTCTCTTTGCCCTCCCTCCTGATGACCCATTCCTGGAGGTAGCAACTGAGGGCTGCCTACTTTCCTTCTTTGAGCTTCTAACGGCTCTGCTTACCAGGTCTCGGTGGATGAACTGGTGGCTCTCCAAGAAGGCCATGCCTTCGCAGACATTGTAGCACATTTCTAAGAGCCGGGAGGGTTCAAGTCCCTTGCCATGACTCTTCAGGTAATTAAGCAGGCAGCCATTGGTTATGTACTCAGTCACTATGTATATGGGGTATTGCTTTGAACACACCCCATAGAATTTAACCAGTTTGGGATGGCTGAGCTTCCTGAAAAGAACAGAATTTTCAATGTTCAGAACTGAATTGCCACACTCCATTTTCCAGATGCGAGAGAATCGCATTTAGATTCTGTGTCATGATTTCCTCCCTTCTGCTTGCACAGAGGAGATCAGGGTCTCATGTTGAGATCATAATAGCCCTTGGAGGCAAATAAATAAGTAAATAAAACAAAAAAACAGTTTCTTTATGTCAAACCCTGACAGCCTCGGCAGCAACGCAGCAGTTTGCAGATGCTGCATTGGCTTTCTTATAGAGAGTTGGGCTGGTCATGGTCTATTGCTTCAAAAACCCTGCTTAGCCCTGTAACATCTATGCCACACATCTGCAATATTTAATTATAAAGAGGTGGGTAAACTAAAGTAATTGTTAGGTTCTGGATTAGATTGGAGGTCGAGTGAAACAAGTGTGGCACAGGCAAGAACAAACATTCTGCCTGATCTCACTTACCTGTAGAGTGCATAAGTGTTGCTCTCACAGAATTTGAAAGTAGAATGGTGATTATTAGAAGCTAAAGAGGGCAGAAGGAAGTAGGTAATGGGAGAGGTTGATCAATGGGTGCTAAGCTACACCTAGATAAGGAAGAATATTTCTGGTATTCTAGCACATATTTCTATATATTTCTAGCACATAGAAAAAAAAAGAACATTATACAACAGTCACTTAGTGAGTAAATCAGCAGATGGAAGATTTTCTCTTGCTCTCTCCCTCTTCATCACTTTGTCTTTTGAATAAATAAATCTTTTAGAAGTATATATTTCAAAACAGCTAGAAGACATTTTATGTGTTCTTACCAGGAAATGGTAAATGAGGTGAGGGATATACTAACCTCCCTGACAAGATCATTAGACAATGTATATATGTTCAAAACATTACATTATACCTCCCAAATATATACCTTATTATTACCTTTTCCATAACAATTCTACTGCTACCACATGGCCACAGTACTTCTGGTGCATCATGATGGGGTGGATGTTCAATTTTCACCAAGTTCATCAACTTGTCATGTGGTTTATCTATTCTTACCAGTTTGCAGGATGAGTAATGTTAAGATGCATAAGTTAAATCTAAATTAAGCCTGTTTTAAATTTTTAACAAAGGAAGATTTGTTGAATAAGTGGTTATTTCTTTCTTCCGTGTTTAAAATAAGCACATAGTTTATAATGTTACTCAGGAAACGAGCTCAGCTACAGATCTTTCAGCAATCCTGGAGACCTAGATTGTTCTCAGAGTGGCTCTATTCAAAGGAAGAGCACCCGATAACAGGTGTTCTTTGGGCAAATTGAGCCCCTGTCTAGGGGCTCATAGGTAGCAGTACCATGTCAAGAGTGATAGCCCCTACTTGGGTAGGCCTCAGTCTGATCATTACATTTGGGATTTAACATTTTCCCATTGTGACACAGTTTGGTATTTTTCTTTATGTTTAGGTGACATGTTAATGATGCTTTATGACTATTTGCAACTATTGCAATGGCCCAAAAAAAGTTTAAAGTCTTCCTAGGACACAGGGGTTGTACCATGTGCCCACTTACTAGTTTCTACCATTAGCTAGGTGACTTTGGGCAAGAAACTTATTATTGTCCGTGTTTTCTTATAAATCAAACATAGAGAAATAGAGTACATCTCTCATGAGCTTTTTAGGATAACTGGGTGGGTTGGTATAAAGTGTTTGCAGACACACCTGTAAACACTATATAATGTTTAATAATTTAAAAAATGTTCTCTGTAGCACCTTAGGACTTGTGGTGTGCTTCCAAGTATCCTTGACCAAAGCCCGGCTAGAACACTGCTTTTCAGACCGGCTGATTGGCTCCCTGAAACCAGAGTGCCTAACTGTGCTGATTTGTCTCAGACTTAGGGATATTCAAGGCTGCAGGACTTCTAGTAGCAGGTCCAGGGATGTGTCCAATAAACCCACAAAGTCTGCTTCAACGTGCTGTATTCAGAGCTGCAACCTGTTAGGAGGGTTGTCTCCACGTATCAGGTGGGGAAGGAAGTAGATTGAGGAAGGGATTCTAGGCAGGCTGCACTGGAGGTACCAGGGAGGAGAATATTGCCAGGAAAGTCTCAATGTTTAGTATCTCCTCAGTCTTGGATAACAGTCCCACTCTGGTGAACATCCCACCACGCCCTTTCTCAGTCAGCTTTAGAGTATCGGGATTCTGGATCCCTTGTCCATAGCGACTTGTGGCCTTTTCCAAGGCTTATGTAGACCCTCCTGGGTCTGTCCCCCTAATGCTGAAGCATGCTGTCCTTAGCCAAGATCATTGGTCAGTAGGTAGTTCTTTGTTGGAAACATCGAGGGAGCTTGGGGTGCTGAATGCTATGCCTGCCACTTTAGTGTGAAGCCCCTCAGAGTGTAGAGTGGAACCGGGGGAAGGATGGAGAGAGCAGGAGACAAGTGGACTTGGGAGAACCACAGGCCAGAAGGTAGTCTTTCTATGCAGTCCTGGGGATTCTAAGGTCAAAGCTGGCGTTTAGGTGGTTGAGAAGGTATACTTATCAAAATAGGAGCACAGAGCTAATCTTGTTTAACAGTTTGCTAGCTCAGCTGGTCACTTCTGCATATTTATGTACATATAACACATGGACTCTGGCTTTAGGTCTTGTAAATGTTAGAGACAGGCTTGTTAGTGTGCATGCCCTCCCTGGTGAGAGGCAGTGGCCATCACACAGGAGAGACCTACATCATTGTCTGGGCCTCCTGAAAGAATTCGTCTTCTGACATGGAGCCCTCTTTGATCATCTTCACAGCAACATCGTACTGCCCCTTCCACTTGCCCAGTTGCACCACTCCAAACTGGCCACTTCCCAGCTCCTTCAACAGGGTGATCTCTTCCCTTCTCAGTTCCCAGATTCCTAAGAGGGTAAAGACAGTTACTCTTTAGTCTCAGCGTAGAAGGTTTGGAGCTAGCAGCTTCTCATGTGATTGCTTAGCCAATGAGGCTTTCCTACCTGCAGTATGAAGAAATACAAAATGTCTCCTTTCTAGGTTGTTAACTTAGCTTAAACACACAGGATAATGCCACCCTGGATAATATAGTTCATGAAGCAGCTACAGCTATTGAGAAGAAGGCTCCGAGGAAAAACTTTGTTAACTGGAGGAATACTGAAGCGATTCAACGTTAAACATGCAAGATGCCTTTAGGTTGATAAGCTATTATTATATTTTCTTATAAAGCAAATTTAACTGTGATCTGGGTGGGTGTCACTCTCCTGAACTCACAAGGTTAAGGACTGCCTTAGCTGAGCAGGCACAGAATTCAAGAATAAGAAAGGTCAGGCAACAGGATGCTGGAGGCTGGTGACAGGACTGAATTATAAGAAAAATGTCACAATCTTTTTGGTACTTCTGGGGAGACTAAAGATGGAATTTTGGAGGAAATAAATTTTTTAAAGAAAATGAGCCAATATAAAGCTCCCTCTGGCACAATCTGCACAGAGCCCTCATTCCTGTCCCCCTCTCTCCTCTTTGTGTATTTACCCATATATTTCTAAACCAAAAATGGTGGGAAGTGGAGCTTCGGAACCCAAGGTGCATTCATACCGCTTCCTAGGGCCACGGAGACCGGGACCTTGTTAGCCTTGCTTGACACAGGGTGGCGGAGCCTTGTAATCATGCCTGCAATGGAATCAGCACCACGTGATCACATCACATGACATCACATGACATCGTATGGGCTCACAGTATCCCCTCTCCACAAGTTCAGGATGTCATGAGGGTAAAAAATAAACAATAAAGCACCTTCTAAAATATATATTGAGCCTATTTACTAAGTTTCATTAAATGTTCAAATAATTTTAATTGTTCACCAAGAGTCATAGTGAAACTGGGTTTAAATCATCATAATAATTATAGAGGCTTGAAAGACCTCATTCAAAATACACGTATTTCCTGCTTTAAACATAAAATGCTTTACAATTATGGGAACCATCACCCATGTACATTTCCCAGCCTTCTTTTTTCTCTGCATTTGCTTGCTATTTATGAGTATTCTACGTATTTATTTGCTTTTTTAAATACTGTAGTTTTAATCAGTAAATTTAAAATAAATAAAATGTTAAAATGAATATGTTCCTGGTAATATATATATATATGTGTGTGTGTGTGTATACACACTCACACATTATAGCAGTATCATTATATATGTGTGTATATGCATTATATATGTATATTATATATGCATATATAACATATTTATGTCTATAACATTTTTATATATAATGTTACTGCTGTAATGATATATTGTGTGATTATGAAATAAATGTGCAAATAGAACACTCACAAAAATGAGATTAAAAAAATAAATCCAGTTGAGAACTCTTATATTTTCTTCATGTTGTGAACTTTCTTGTGCATCGTTTTAGGTGGAATTAGTCTACTGAGAGATGTCTGTTAAGATAATACTTTGCACAGAAGGTACTTGGCTTATTTTCAGTCAGTGGATTCCTGCTTCAGGGTGGCACCATTCTCCACCACAAGGGGGACTGCTGCATGACTTCACCAGTCAATTAGGCAAAGATTTAAAATAATAGTAGTACTCAGTGGTGGTAAAGATAACAGAAATGTTGGTGAGACTGGTTCTTAAAAGTATTTGGCAATATGTACAATTTGATCATCTTAGTCTTTATCCTATAAATTCCATTTCTAAGAATTTGGCTAATAGAAACATGTCTGGGTGCACAGAGCTAAGTGCCCAAGACTGTACCACATGGAACATCTATTACCACATGAAAATATTGAACATAACTCAATTCCTAATCCATAGAGGACCAGATGAATAAACTGTGGAGGGCCTCTGCTGAAAAGTTCTATCCAGCTGTGAAACAGACCAAAATAATCTACAAGAATTTTCAAGGAAATAAAAGTCTGTGACATGTTGAGGAGAAAAAGCAAGCTGAACAGTATGTATGTAATGATATCAGCTCTAGAAAGGTGATGTATTTAAATATAATTTACATGTACAGGAACATAAACATTAGGGTACAAAATGGTCGGTCATAATAGACGCTTGTCCATGGAGGCTATCTATCTAATGACATATATTTCTGTAATACTTGAATTTCCGAGTCAATATGCTTCAATAGGTGAGATAAACCCTATATTTATTTATTTATTTATTTATGGAAAAGTAAATTTACAGAGTGGACAAACAGGAAAATCTTCAATCCAGTGTTTCACTCTCAAATGGTCGCAATGGCTGGAGCTGAGCCAATCTGAAACCAGGAGCCAGGGGCCTCCCCCGGGTCTTCCATGTGGGTGCAGGGTCCCAAGACTTTGGGCTGTCCTCCAGTGCTTTCCCAGGCCACAACCAGGGAGCTGGATGGGAAGTGGGGCAGCTGGGACACAAACTGTTACCCACATGAGACCCCAGCGCTTGAGAGGGAGGATTAGCTATTTGAATCACTGGCCCAGGCCCTACAGATAGTTTTCTAAAGAGAATTTATCCCTTTAAGTTGCCCAATTCATTCAACCTTATTCTTTCTGGCTTTATAGAGTATACCACGTTATATTCCAGCAGATGTAAGTTAAAATTACACTAACATACAACAGCATTTGTTCCTACTATCAAGGTTTGCTATATAATTAAGAATATTAGGATGATCAGTAGTAGCCACGAAAATTGTTGTATACTAACAAGGTCCATTAAAACAAGAATTGAAACAAGTTACCTGCTGAATTATGTTGATGATAGTGAATGAGCTTTGGAATGGAGTCAAAACAATAGTTTTCTGCGAGGTATAATTTGTTTTCAGCATTGGTATGCACGTGGTAATGTTTAACAGTTCCTTTTTTATCACTAGTAAAAAAGAAAAGGTTTTTCTTTTTTAAAAAGCCATTTTAAATAAATGACCAAAAATTATTGCTTAAACAGTGGTTAGATAATTATTTTAAATATATGTTGCACACAGTGTTTATTGGGCAATACTTGTGGCAAGCAGTAATTATGGAATGAAGACAGCAAGACACAGAAGTTAAAAAAAACTTGCTCACTGCCCTAAAACCTTGAAATTCTGAGACAGGATTTGGATGTACAAGTTTGGCTACTAACTAGAACTGTGAGCCCCGCACTGAAGACAGCACCGCAGAAGGAAGCTATGCAGAGAACACACATCCACAGATTCAACTTTGTGCTGGCTGCTCCCGGAGGCCCCACTGGACACTGGAGCGGCTGGCTCAGCTCAGCAAGTGGCTGGCCTGGAGACCTCAGACTCCATTTCCATTTTTCTCTCTTTTTAGGTTTAGATTTGAATGAAAGGGACTCGCTTAAGAGTCCTTGAGGTGTGTTGTGCGTGGCCAGGGAGGGGCTCACACAGAGAAGAGCTGCTTGCTGGCAGATGGGGTCTTGTCCGGAAATGTCCTGTGCTAATCCGCACATTCAGAGAACACACGTGGACAAAACCAAGAAAGAAACTCGCTCCGTACTCACTTCACAGCCTTACTGAACAAGGACACTGTGTACATTCCCGCCTGGCTGGAATTTCGAACCATAAATGCACCTTCGATTCCCTGGAAGGCAGGCAAAGTGTAGCAGGAATGGAAAACATTTTCATTATGCTTAAACCCAAATTTTCACCATAATTTACAAGAAAATAAGTCTCTCACATCCCTTGCAATGTACTGAGGGCACAGTAAAGTCAATAGTTGCCATGGGGGGTCACAGTGAGACTTTCCTTTTTTGTCTCAAAATCCTTATAGATCTATCCTTTATGCTTCAATGCTTCCTCTCCAACTGACTATTCAATTAGTTATTTAGTTTATTTCTGAGGGAGGGAAAGGAGGGGAGAGCGGAGAGAAAGAGAGAGCAAACTGGGGAGAGCATTGATAATCACTGAACGTGGAACCTGGAACTCAATCTTTAATACTTCTCAAAGAAATAATTGCTAGGTTCCATATTTTATTAGATTGAACTATGTCAAAATGCCATTTTATAGATCAAAAAAGTTTGCTGCTAGTAATTCCATATCACTGAGCAATGAAATCAGATAAGGTTCTTACCACATCTGCCGTGCTCTGCGTTAGGTGTTACTGCAGTGACAAAACTGATGTAAACAGTGGTACTGATGACCCCCAGTAAATCACTTCTCTTGTTAACAGTCCTATACAGTACTCTCCGACACTGACTCTGAGTTACACCATGTGACTTGCTATGACAAACTGACAGTAGCAAATGACGACAGAAACGTCCCGAGTGCTTGCACTGCATGGCTGGTCGCCTTTTATTACTGCCATGCCTTGAGGAAGCCCAAGTCAGGCACACGCAGGAGCTGCTAGAAGAGCTGTGGTGCCACAGATATGTACTGTCCCAGCTCACCCTGCCCGGCCCCAAGGCGCTCTGTGAGGGGCCCTAACGAGGACCTGGAGGGCCACTGTTAGCACAGCTGGCCACCGAATCACAAAAAGCACAGTTCTGCTTCTGGTCACTAGACTTGGAAGTGGCTCATTATGCAGCAGTAAGTACTGAAAGCTGAAGAAGATAGACCGAAGTGCTGGGGAGCCCAAAAAAGTCTAGCCACCCAGTGCTTCCTGAGCACACTTTACACTTAACAGCAAGGTTTCTGTGAGGACTGTGCTACGCTCTTGGGCCCAACAATTTGAAAACACTCTTGGAGATGATTGCAGAGACAAAGACTACGAACCTTTTCCCTCAGCAACTGCTCAGCCTGTGACCTGGACATGTCTCCTGCAAACCAGCTGCAACAGGGAAGAATTTCATATTTGAGAATCAAAAATTTGTCAGTTATATAACTTAACTTGTTCCTCAGATTTTTAATCCTTAAAATGAAGCATTGGTCATATTAGGTGCTTTGAGAGAATCAGCCAAAGAGCTTTTCTAAACTATAGGTATTTGAGACTCCATCACTCAATTTTATAATTAGAGTAGGCATATTATTACGTAAGGGGTATAACTCAGGGAAGACACTTGTAAACACCCATATACCAAATCATGTGGTGTACACATTTTATATTTGAGGTAAGCCGGATTGGGGAAAATATAAGATAATAACCCACCCAATTGTCATCTGCTGCACAAGAAAGTGGCACAGCCTTCCACAAGTTTTCCCATGAATACCGCCCTTGAGACAGTCTGTGCCACCTGCTTTAAAGTCCTGGAGGCACTGAGCAGAGTTGTCTAGTCTGGATTGGGGAGGACACCAGGGCCTCGTAATACTCACTCATACTCAGCCAGGTTTCCCTCTTCCTCAGATGAACTTGACTCAGGAAATCCCCTTAAGAAAAGTTGGGACACAACAAGAATGAAAAGCCACGAGAAATAAGCCAAGTGCCTGCATAGACAGTAGCAAATGCGCCCTGTTTTCATGCGCTAATTAAAAGTTAAGACTCTTGGGTTTCCAATTTTGCACTTGGAAAGGTCTCAACGAAGTGGAGAGACTTTCCCAAAAGCCAGGTTCACATCTCGCTTAATGTGAGAGTGGCTCTTCAATATAGGTGGGCGCCAGGAAGCCCCCAGGAAAAATCTCTCTCATTCTTCCAGAATGGCTGTAGCATAGTTAAAAAAGAAAATCTTGGGTTTTGTTTTGAGCAATTTCTAGGGAATTCCTGGGTTGTTTTTCCTTTTGCTCAAGACACCTGAGTCAGGTATATTAATGTCCACACTAAGAGAAGTGTGTAAAAGAATTGATGAGCGGGGAACACCACTGTGAACAACACTACAAATTACTGACTCATACCTATTTAAGTGTTCAGAGACTCAAACTACATAATCATTTTTAATTTATATATACCTTAAATGTCAAGCCTGGTTGCAAAGTTTTTGCAAACCTTAGTTCTCCTGTAAGGGCAAGCAAGTTCCTGCTGTAGAGGGATATCTGAATGTGGTTTACCATGAAATCTTGGAGATGCTGTGATTTGCAGCACTTCTCTCTGCTTGGTTATTCCATGCAGCGTCATCACTGCTGTACAAAAAGAGAGATGGTTCATTCATTTAGAAATGCATGTTTACTTACAAATGGTAAACGGGAGACACTATTTTGTTCAGATACGTTTTAACTCTACCAGACATATTGCCCCACACTTTTCACTTGGACACTAAAGCTAATGAGTCACTTCGGCATTTTGGTTCTTTCAGAGATGATAGCTGTAGTTGTAGTTTGGCAGTAACCCTAAACCAAAGAGGATGGTTAGTAACAGCTTACAATGACTCCAAATGACAGAAAACCTGGGTTAATGAGCCACTTTGACTGGGCTCACCCTGATTTTCTTACAGATATGAAAGCATTTTGTCACATATACGTCAAGATAAGTTAGTTTCCTCTTTGTTGCTATTATTACCAGTAAGGTCTTTATAACAGTGAACTTTTCACTGCAGCTGGGCTCAGATGGCTCAGGACGATTCTCATCATTCTCTGCCAGCCCTCATTTTTGCTCTTTTTGGGCGTCAAGCAGATTGTTAACTAAGTACCTATCTCTCAAAGGCCAGCGGCTATTTTATCTGAGATATAGGCCTTGCTTCCTGTTTGCCTTCAAAGCCCAGACTTTTTGTTCCCACAAAACCATGCTTCCTTGAGACAGGTTGCCTTGGCAAAGAAGTGCTTGCCTGGCTTCCTTCCAAGGAATGCCAAGAGAAAGCCCCGAGGCACTGGACTACTTCCTCCTACACATTCCCAAAGAGACTTCCCCAAACCTCAGGGAATTGGCTTTCTTATCAGAAATTGCATTTGTAAAGGCCAAACAATAAATTTCACCTTCTTGTTTTTAAGGCTATGCGGAGACTAGCCATCAGCAGTGCACCAGTGGGTTTACATACATTAACAATATTTTATGGACACTAAAAATAATCAGATAATGAGTAGTGAGAATCTGTGTTGACAGACATGTATGTGGCAGCAGGTGTATCAAGGCATTTTAGAGGAAAGTATACTGTAACTATTGCATACTGGATGATTCCATGGAACCACGGGTTGCTTTACTGATCAGAAAAAAAATGAAAAAGTAGCACAGGTGAAGACAGTATGATTTATAGAAATTGGATTTAAACACTACTCTCTAGTATGTGAGCTAAGAATCGTGGCTGCATTCTAAAAATTCAAGCCTTGTGAAGACCTTTTGAGCAATTATTGTAATTAACTCACAAATACCATGTTGCTTTTACTAAGAAGTAATTAACCAATCCTTTGTTCCAAAATCAGCTTTCTGAAGTTTTAGGGGAAAAAAAAACAGTGTTGGGACAAAATATAAAAGATCGCAAAATTTGAGGGGCTGCCAAAATGTACATGCAAGATACATTGCATGGTAACAAAATATTATTACAACAATAATATTCGTGCAAAGCACCCTTAATAGCTAAAATCTCAACATTTTCAACAAAGATGGGGTCAAGCACTCCATGCACCATAAGCACCTCTGCAGCAGGCCCTGGCAAACCGTAGTTCTGCTGGAATTCTTTGAAAACCCATTGCCACACACATCCATCAGTGAATCACTGGAGTTTCTCTCAGAGGGAACCTGGCACAAATTAGACATGGGATTTCTTGTCCTTGGATCTGGGCTTCCTGACCATTTAATTCCACACACCTACTGGGCTTCAAGCAGATAAATGTCATCCCTCTCTTTGGACTTTGGATATCAAGATCCGAACACTTGGAGTCTAGCTCCATATTGGAATGAAAGGGATCACAGCTTGTTCTTTTGGAGTAAAAATAAACATTAAGGAGTTCACACTTACATTCTTTCAAGTTTTTTTATGGGCCTGTGCCTGCCATTGGTACAACGAGGCACTTGCTTTAGGTCAGCATGATGAGGATGGAAAGAATGAAGGAATAAGAAGGCAAGAGAGAGAGGCTTGTGGTGAGTCGAAGAGGCTTCATACCTACTCCCAGAAAAGACACCCCTCTGTCCCCTGAAGCTGACCACAAGGGGAGAAGGTGGTACACAGTGGACCCTGATGGAGAGGTGAGGCAGCCAATAGGGAGGGTAGCTACTTGAGTCTTAAAGTTCAATTTAACATTGATTGAACACAGCATTTAGGTACTGTTTTCAAGGTCATTTCAATTGTGCCTTTAGCCAGAATTATTAATGTGAAACACAAGAAAAGACTAACAAAGTCAGGAGAGGTGAAAGTGTTCTAAGAATGCAAGCCATGACTTTGCTTGAAATGCTAATTGTCATTTGCCTAGCAATGATGAAACATGTTATGGAAACAGACCTACCCTGAGGTTTTCTGTATAAAAGCTATGTTTGAAAGAGTCTATGTTCTGAAATGGGAAGGGGCAGAAAGAGGAGGGAATTAGCCCATTAGATCAGACAATTGAAATGGGAAGTCTATACTGCTCAGCACCAAAGTGGCCATTTGATTCCCCAAGTCTCCCAGTTCAAGTACAGCACACTGACTGATCAAATAGCCCAATCTCAACTGAAACCCTTATCAATAGCTTTGAGAATGTGCTCCAAGACCATGGCGGCAATGCCTACTTCACATGCTGGGCAGCTAATCTAGAAGCTGGGTTTACCTTTTCAGCTTTCTTACTTGCCACCAGTCAGGGTAGTCTTCCTTGGGAATATACCATGTGTTGACATTAGGCTGGGAGCTGTAGTTTCTCCTTGAATCGCTGTCATACTGAGCTTGAGCGGTACTTGAAGATGGCACATCCATTTTGAGAATGGGAACTGCCCGAGGAATCTTGAACTTTGGAGGACAAGAGATTTTAATGTAATACAACGAGACAGATTCATGTACTGGGAACCAACAACCAAAGCGAAGAAGGGAGGAAGAAAGGGAAAGGGAAGGAGCAGGGAAGAAGGAGAAGGAAAGAAACGGGAAGAGTGGAAGGAAGGAAAGGTAAGAAGGACTATGAAAGGAAGAGAGAATAGGGAGAGACTAAGCCTTGACAAAGGCACAGAGCAACTTGAATGCTAACACTATCACTGGCTGAGTGTGAAGTGGTCCAATTTCTTTGGGAAATGTCTCTGCAGAGTCAGTTAAAGCTGGCTGTGGCCATACCCCATGAGCAGAAATAGGGATGCCCAACAGTAAAGCCACTTACAATATCCACACCAGAATTGTTTGAATTAGATCAAAAGTGTAAACAGCCTAAATGGTCATCAAAAGGATAAAATGCTCATCAAGAGGCTAATGCTCAGAGGCAATGAACAGAATATTGGTGCCCCCAGGGGTACTCATATTCAAATTCCTAGTCTATGAGTACCTTCACAGTGAAAAAAGAGTTGACGCACTGTTCAGGACAGTCTTGCTGCTTTATCCCACTCGTGGTAATTTGTTAGAGCAGCAATAAGAAATAAACAGTGGTGTAGTCACACAATGGAATTTTATATAGCAGTTAAAATGAGTTATAATCACATATTAAAAAGTGAGTGAATGTCATACATTGAGCAAGAGAAAATGATCAATGACTATATACTTTATGATTCTATTTATATAAAGGTCAAAATCAGACAAACAATGTATGAAATTCCAAGCCAGGCTAGCCGTTACCATTTGTGGAATGTAGTAACTGACATGACATGAGGGTGACCTTGGGGTTTTGTTACATTCTGCTTCTTAGTCTAAATGTGGGTTATATAGATGTGTTTTATTTGTGACATCTCATCAAATTGAACACTTAGGATTTGCATCTTTAAGTCATATTGTACTACAATAAAATTCATACTATAGTCCTGTGTTTTTGTGTGCATATGCTCTGCATTTAATTTTTCCACAACCTATTGACTCTTTTTTCCCCAGGAATGTTATTTACTCAGAGCTGAGGTGGAAATTTTAGCTATGCATGACACTGCTATTTATGAGCTGGGAGGGGCGGGGTTCCCTTCAATGATAAACACACTGGAAAGTTCCTTAAACTGAACAGAATGTGAACAGAATGACTAGAGAGCTGATTTTTATTCCCACCCATTAGAAAACAAGTTCCCTATTGAATGTTCTGGTTTTAAAAAGGGAAAACATGCTTTTCATGATGCCCTCTCTGATCCCTACTTCCTTTAGGCTGTTGATATTGAAAACAGTCCTGTGAACTGTTGACCAGATTTGTCGGACCAATAATTTTCAGCATATTTCTCAGAGACTAGAGACTGGGTGCCAGAGACTAGACTCAATGGTTTCTGAGTCCTAAATTATCCTGTGCTATTAGATTTGTTTAAAGCAAAATTGATTAAAAATTCATCCTTTAGAAGTGCAGAATTCAGTGGCTTTGAACAAATTTATCAAGTTTAATAATCATTGCTACTATCTAGTCTTAACAGATTTCCATCACCCCAATGAGATTCCCATGCTCTTTTGTAGTCACTCTCCATTCCCATTAGGCAATCGCCATTGGTCCTTGTAGACTTCTAACTGTGAACATTACTCTACAATGTCTTATGAGGTCAGACTTCTCAAAATTCAGGACTAGGCCATGGTATCCAAAACAAAAGGTCTCTAGGGCTGAATAAAATCTCCAAATCCTAATCACTGTTTTCTGGGGCTGTCATAACAAGTTAACACACAGCTGATCAATTAGACACTTAAAATTCGGCCTTTCAGTCTTCAAGATCAGAAGTCCAAAATGAAGGTTTCAGCATGGCCATGTGCCCTCTGAGGGCTCACAATGCAGGAATGAGCTACAAACAGGTTAATTAACTAAGGCAATGGAGGTTTTGTTTATTTTCTGCAAGCCAATTCCATTCCCTGTGGGAAATCCACAAAAGTCTCCCATAATAGCAAGAATCAGCAGTGGACAAAGTCACCCAAACACTATTGCTATCAAATCATGATAAGACCAGCTACCTCTAACTGTCTCTTTCTTGGCCCTGACCCTGAAAGCGTCAGAAATACCGGCCTCCTCACAACCCCTCTTGAAAAAAGCAAGCTCTGCACTAATACAGACTGAGCAAAGTGAAAGGCAGAAGGTTTACCTGGAAACAATGTTGGAAGTTGTTGGAAGTGTTAACAAGATGGGACAGTCATAGTTTGTTCTCCTGATTACCACTACCAGGGAAAATGTTTATCATCTGGGAATGACCAGGAAGCTATAAAATTTGCCTAAAACTTTCACCTGAGGACGGAGAGGAAAGTCCACCGAGTAGCTTCAAAGGGACAACTGCAAACAGGATTATATGACTTCCTGCTTTTGCCTGCTGTAGTCCCATTCCAACACTGGAGGCTCCCGTGAGGCAGTGTTGGCCGTGCTGGCAGTAGGACATCAACAAACACAGGTAACAGGTACCTGTTATATGTGAGGCCATCTTAAGGACTCCTCCCACATGGGTTCCTTCTTTGGTAACTATGGACCTACTGGTTAGCAACAGACCCAGTAGTTGAATATAAAGATATGAAATGGTAAAATAAGAATTCACTACTTGATACCACCAATAACTACTAGTGAGAGCTCACAGTCCCATCTTCCCAAACCCTCTGCTAAGCAGTCTGAGCAAAGCCCACATGTTCTGTTCTTGAATCTGTTAACTTTTTGTTGATTTGATAAATGCTACTATGAAAAACATTGCAAGCATTTAAACTCACCACTCTGTCTGGGAAGGTAGGAACTTTAAATTTCTCTTCGTTGACTGCAACATGAAGATCAGTATCTGAAAAGTAAAACTTACTTAAAATACATATAAGCTCCTCGTTTCTCGGGGAATATGATGTGGGATAGAGAGCAATGAAAAAGCGAACTCTTGTTACCACATCTGATGTCATTAAGAAATTAATACACATGTGCAGAATGAAAGCTACTTCAAATATATCTTTTCAGATTTGGCCATCAGCATTTTGCAATGTGCACTGATTAAAGTGTGATTTACATTTTTAATATCTTGCTTAAACTTTGTTTTATTTATTTTGAAAAGCACAGACAGAGGGAAGAAGGGGAGAAAAGTAGGGGAGAGAGGAGGGAGATCTCCTTATCCATCCACTGGTTCACTCTCGTCAATTGCCCACAATAGCCAAGGCTGAGCCACATTAAAATCAGGAGTCAGAAACACAACATTGGCCTTCCACATGGATGGCAGAGACCCAAGCATTTGAGTCATGGCCTGCTGCTTGCCAGGGTGCACATTAGCAGGGAGCAGGAATCAGGAGTAGAGTGGGGAGCTCATAAGAGATAGGAACATTCCAAGTTTTTTTTTTAAAGATTTATTTTATTTTTATTGGAAAGGCAGATATGCAGAGAGGAGAGACAGAGAGGAAGATCTTCCGTCCGATGAACCACTCCCCAAGTGAGCGCAACGGCCAATACTATGCCGATCCGAAGCCAGGAGCCTCTTCCGGGTCTCCCACGCGGAGGGAGCTGGAAGGGAAGCGGGGCTGCCGGGATAGAACCGGCGCCCATATGGGATCCCGGGCGTGCAAGGTGAGGACCTTAACCACTGCGCCGCCGCGCCGGTCCTGAGCATTCCAAGTTTTAACTGTTGTGTCAAGCATCTACCCTGGTATAGAGTTTTAAAAGAATGTAGTTTCGCTTTCTGAGTTTATTATTTTTGTTATTTACAGGAAGAGAGAGAGCTGTATTCTGAAATGGGAAATGCAGCTTTTTAGATCACGGTGCTGTGTTGATCACATTCTACCTCTTTGGAATTTAACAAGTCAGGAAGAATTATGGGCAAAAATAATAGCTCATCAATAGGTTAATGATTCAGGTTTTTAAAATATTTTTCATAAAGCAAAAGAAGGGCAGATGCTGATATTATTATTTTAATAGCTGTGAGTTACTTGTCCGTAGAATTAGACATCATTTGCTATATAGCATCTGTGAGGCTGGATTTTCCTGATGTCAACCAACCTGTCACATCTTGTCTACTGTCAGGCTGTTCTGGAAACTGCTGGCTTTGGCCTAATGGGGAACCAACCACCCAGGGACCAGTCCAAAAGAAGGGTCACACATTACATGCTTCCCAAAGGGTGCATCCTGGAGCCGCTTTGCAGGTCTGCTGGCAGCACAGGTACTTTCCGTCCACAAAGAAGCCACTGTGGTACTTGATCAGCAGGTGAGGGCTGCCCCTGATCTCTGAGGAGCAGGCAGAAAGGAAAAGATGTGAGTGAACTTTGGCCCACAAGAAAAAATGCAATCAGTTGACACTCACCATACAATACCAGTAACCCAGTTTGCCAGTTGCTGTGCTAAAAGCAAATGACCCTCAAAGAATGTAAGCCCTTCATTAAGAAGATAATAAGCCAAAATGAAAGCCTAGCATGTATAGAGTGAGAATTGTAAGTTATTCCAATAGCCCACCCTGGACCAGGTGCCATTTCCTCTTCCTCACAGCTCACGAAAGTCGCGCCAGCCTAGCCATCCACCAATCAGATGTAACCTGGCATTCCACCTGAAAATCCCACCCCTTCCAGCCCCTTCCCAACCCCGCCCACTCACCAATCATCCTCAGGCATTCACCTGCAGTTGCCAATCCCCTGGGGCCTGCCCTCAATCCCTCCCAATCCCCACCCTCCACACCTGGCAGACAAAAAGGACCCCAGGTGCAGCTCTGTCTCTTCTTTGCTCTTCTCTCTCTCTCCTCCTTCCAGCCTCTCCTCCCTCCCCCGCCTTCCCCTTTTCCTGCCCCGCTGGAATAAACCTCCTAAGATACCTCGTTGCGTCTGGTGTTTTCAGCTCATGGTAAAGAACCAAGTTGCAGGAATTAGCTGTGCGTAAAATATCGTAATATCGTATGAACTAGAACTAGAGCTCTAACCCTTTTTAAATAACTAACAAGAATAACATAGTAATATATACAGGTTAAGCACTTGTTATTTAGAATGCTTAGGACCAGTGTTTCAGATTTCAGAATTGCTAGGATTTTAAACAATTTGCCTAGACTTTACCAGTTGAGCATCCCTAAATGTGAAAGTCTGGATGAAATTCAACATTTGAATCTATCTGAAGGTCATGTTTGTGCTTAAAAAGTTTCAGATTTTGAATTTTGAAATTTTGGATTAGAAATGCTGAACCTGTAGCGTGCTTGAAGAAAAGAAAAGAAAAGAAAAAAAAAAAAACTAGCAAAACCTGCATGTATAGGTAAGCTTGATGTTAAGATGACAGAGACACATCCGGGGAGAAGTGAGGGGTTACAGCATGTGGCAGAAGGAGGCTGGAGGGCAGAAGGTCTTAGCAAACAGAAAAAAAAATTCTACTATACATTCACTTCCCATCATTTTTATTTTTTCAAAATAAAAGTTGCAAGATTAACCCTGATTCATCACTTGTGAACTGCCTACCACATTTGCTTTATCTTTCTGTTCATACATATTGTTTTAAAATGTAGAATTATTATGTTTTGCTTAACAATGTGAGACTAAGCAGCTGACACCATGAGCTTACTAGCGTTTCTTGAGCTGCCGCTGCACTAACACTGGACTGTCACTGTGGGAGAACAGAAGCAAATTTCTTTCAACAGTTGTTTGCAGCCAGATGCAAATCACCTGCTGTGCAGGCACAGTGCTAGTGCTGACTACGTGCTCGTGTGGTATGGAGCGTTAGGCAATGGGCCTCTGCTTCTAGTTCTGCTGCCTCATCATTTTCCTTTCATTCTCACATGCACTGCCTAGGGGCCATCCAAATTTGTCCCATAGATATAGTTCCTGAAGGACCCGCAAATAAAGACCTACAATAAAGGCCACAGATAAATGCCTGAGAGCTATGCACAGAAGGTACCTGCAGAGCGACTGTCACCTGCTGCTGCCACCCCAGGAAATCTTCCCAAAAGTAGCTGAAAAGGAAGCAGTGCCCCAGAGCTGACCCTGAAGTCTACTATAATCAAAAACCTCGTGCTCATGCATAACATGCTGTAATAGATTTAGGACCATCGCCTTTGTGACTCATGATTACTCCAAGTGAAAAGAAATGTGGGGAACTGATAGCCAGAGGTATCAGATATCAGCTCACTTTACTGAATGACGCAGCCATGCAGAACTTGGCTACAGTTTTGTGTGATTTCAACAGGGATTCCCTTTTCACTTCAGTCAACTGGTAGAAGGCTGCTTCCCTTCCACACCGGGTCACCTGACTGTCATACAGAATCAATCGTTATTTGCTTTCACGGAAAGGAAAAATTAAGTCCTATATGTGGAAAAGAGTTTTCATAACCAGAGATGTACTGAGGAAAATCCATGCACTCAAACTTGAAGGAAAGAAAATCAAATATTCCCTGCTCCAGGAGCCTAGTAACCTGAGAAGTGCAAATGAAGTCATTATTTGAGTGGAAGATTTTCTTCACATTATCATTCATTTTTAAAGTAAAAATATTGCAGAGGGAAACAATAATTTCTAACTTACTAGTTAGAAACATAATAGTTTCCAAGTTACTAACATTCTGCCTTCTACTACAGCTATTGCCAGAGCAGCCTTAAAAATCACTGACTGAAAGCTTCATCTTTGTCCAGCACTTATAATACACTGGGTAAGAAGCTGGGTTTGGATAATTAGAATGCCTATTACTAGGGATGTGACCTTGTGCATGGCTTTTTTTTTTTTTTCAGTTTTGCTTCTCTGAAAAATGCAGAACAACATTTCCCCTCTCTACAGAGCTGTCCAGATCACCTAAGAAAATAGTTTATAAGTACTTCATAAAGTAACTAGCAAATGTTAAGTGCTTAGTGTGCACTGGGTATAATTTTCCTTGAGCATCGAAGGTGCAGCAGACTTGGTACATGCTCATGAGCACCTGAACTTTGTCCTGGGAAAGGCAAGCACAGAAGGTGGAGAGCAGGTGGCCCGGCTTCCTGAAGCTGCTGCAAAGGCACAATAGCCAGCTCTGGTGCTGAGTATGTGAGGGAATTCTACCCACAGGCTTCCTGTTTGCAACCATGAGCATGCAAAATGAGAATGAGTCTGGCGCAGTCCCTGAGGTTGATAGGCAAATCAGGAGGTCCTCTCTTGGCATTGGATCCCTTTACTACCATAGCAGTCATCTAACATGCCTCAAAAGAACTCAATTCCTGTCTTTTATGACATTTTTAAAAATTACCTTTCTGTAATGCTTTCAGCCACTGCCTCCGGCTGTCTTCATTTGATGCATAGACATAGAGAAGCCCATCCTTATAGACAATCTGGAAAGCAAAGGATCTGGTGCATTCAGATGTAAGTACATCATAGCTCACTCGGGCACAGCTGCGAGTTTTCTATTATCCAGATTAGATAATTTGCTTTCGTTCTAGAAGGCGATGATGAAAAAATAATAACACTTGGAAAAACATTCTAGTCCTCAATCCATTTTATCTCAGTCATTCTTACATGGGAAGTTACCGCAGTAATGCACGTACAAGTGCTGAACACTGAGGTCTCAGCAGAGTAGATTCCACATGATGTGTGTCTCAGGATTGTCTGCCTTTCCACATGATGTCTGTTTTAGGATTGTCTGTTTTAGGATTGTCTGTTTTAGGATTGTCTGTCTTAGGATTGTCTGTTAAGCCATTCTGTCCTTAAAAGTGTTCCCAGGGATAGACATCCTTTCCTTTGCTATGCTAACTGGGCTGGTTTCTTATATTCTTATCATTATAAGGCTCATCTTACGTTGGGTATTAAAAAAACCAACTCTCTGTTACTTCAATTTTCTGTGTTATATGGCACCCAGGAACCCCCCAAATAAGCCTTTCCCTATTTTTTCACACATTGGGTAATGTTCAAAGATTATAATATCTTCTCCAGACACTTCTCAAGTTAACTCTTGTTGGTAATTAATATGTAGCAAATGCTTACTAGTTGCTGGGCTATTTCCTACTTACCTTAATATTTTAATTCTATTTCAATTTTGTGAAAAGTATGAGTATACTCTTTTTCCAAATGAGAAAACATATTCAGAGAGAAGTTGAATGTACGTTACAGCTACATATGTGGAAGTAACGGGGCTAGGACTTCTGTGGGCTCTGAATCCTGTGTTTTGTTGAGTACTTTAAGCCAAACACTCCTCCATCAAAGTTTGAGTACTGTTTTTTCTAAGTGAGAAGTATAGGCTATTCATCAACTGGATTATTAGATTTCATGTTTTAAAGGTTTGTTTATTTATTTGAAAGACAGTATTAGGAAAAGACAGAGGGAAAAGTAGTCATTCACCGATTCACTTCCTAAATGGCTGCGATATTCAGGACTGTGCCAGGCAGAAAGCAGGAGCCAGGAGCTCCATCCAGATCTCCCCTCAAGGGTGCAGGGGCCCAAGCACTTGGGCCATGTTCCACTGCTTTCCTAGCCCATTAGCAGGGAAGTGGATTGGAAGAGAAGCCTCTGGAACACAAACCGGTACCCATGTGGGAATGTTGGCATTGCAGGTGGCAGTTTTATCCACTGCACCACAACACTGGTCTCCACATTTCCTTTTTGATCATAAGTCCTTAAAATTAACACTAGGTAGTCTGGCCAGCTTAAAAAAAAAAGCCCACTGCCTTTAAATGACAGAGGCAAATATTGATAATACAATGAAAGTTGGCTATGCGTTAGTTCAAGTCACCTCCAGAAGGGAGTTAGGCATGCTCTCCACAGCATACCATGTTTAAAATACATCATAGAAAAATTCAAACTTTTTAAAAATGATTTTATGATACAGTTACATAGGCTCTAGGATTTCCCTTCCTCCCTCCCTAAAACTTCTCCACCCTACTGATTTCCCCTATAATAGTATTACAATAGTATAGGCCTTTATAACCAATCCTAAGTCCATCAATCTGCTATTTAAGCATATCTTGACATTATAGGCATGGACAATGGCAGAGAGTCCAGCATCCTATTGTCAAGATACAGTTAACAGTTTTATTGGGAATCCATCTTTAGTCTGGAAGTAGAGATGTGTACTGCATTGTATCTTCACATCTGAATATGACAGTCTCTATTACACAGTTACTATACATCCCCTTAAATGAAAACCCATAAAACAAAATCAACAACAGGAAGAAAATAAAAAATTCACAACAGTATGAAGTCAAATAACTCGTCACTGAATGAAGAAATGAAAATCAAAAAGTTTCTTAAAACAAATGATGCTGCTGTACAACCTATGGGTAAGTAAAAAAATTAATGAGAAAAAAACTTTTTCAAAGAAATGAAAATAAAAACAAAAATATCAAAACCTGTGAGATACAGCACAGTCAGTACTGAAAGGGCTATTGATCTTATATTTTGCATGAAGGTTGCCTTATATCAGAGATAACATATGATATTTGTTCTTTTGGGATTGACTTATTTCAGTGAGCATAATGGTCTCCAGCTGGGAAAATTCCAACATCTTCCATGGTGTGCAAAGCCCTTCAGGGTCCTTCCTACTTATTCAGGCTTGTCTTTCAGTAATGCTTCCTCTGTTCAGAGCAACTGCTTGGGGCTGGCCAAAGACAACATGCTGATTGACACCTTGCTGGTTCCTGCTGCCTTAGTCCTGCTGTTCTTCCTTCCTGTGCTGGGTGAGGCTCTGCTTGCCCTGAGTGTGGCCTCCAACACAACAGCTCTCTGACTTCCACTTGTGGATTTTGCCACTTTCTTGCAAATGTGTTGGGGCAGGGCCAGTATTTCATTACTTAGTGTGTCCACTATTTCGTAGCACCACAGATATCAACAGTGTCTGAGAAGAGATATACTTGTGGCAACTCGGCTCACTGCAATTAACACTCTCATCCTGCTGCCCCTCCCTCCAGGGAAGGCAGGTTGTTGGAAGAATTTTAAGCAATTCTCCAATTTCCATCTGGGGGTAATCCAAGTTGTGTCATTGTCTTAACAGATCACTTTACACCATTATTAGTTTTCATCGATCTACTGAGTTTATGACAGAAAATATTAAAGAAAGAACCTTTCAGAGACTGGTGCTGTCGTTCCGAGTGCAATGCCAACGTTCTCTACGGGTACCAGTTCACGTTCTGGTGGTGCTCCTTTCAATCCAGGTCCCTGCTAATGGCCTGGCAAAGCAGCAGAGGATGGCCCAAGTGTTTGGGCCCCCTTTACTCACATGGGAGACTTGACAGAAGCTTCTGGCTTCTGCTTTCAGGCTGGCTCAACTGGCCATTGCAGGAACTTGGAGAGTGAATTGGCAGATGGAAGATCTCTCTCTCACACACATACACACACACCTCTCTGGAAGTTTTTCAAATAACTAAACAAATCTAAAGAAACGAACTTCTACCCAGGGCAATGTTGTTACTCCCCTTACCTGAAATGGATATTGTCTCTCCACTGGTGTCTGTTCCTCAAGATTCACTTTCTCCACACATCTGATCTTTTTAATTTCAATGAATCCTTTTCTGCTGCCTCTTTTCTGAATTAAAGGAAAAAAATCACAATCCCTTGTGTGGTGCCCCATGGTGCCGAGAGGAAAGCATGACGCTATAGCTTTGTGTGAGAAGAAGATGGGGTGATGGCTGGTCAACAAAGAATCTCTTCCCATTACTCCACAATAGTAAAAATATAATGACTAGAATATTTTGTTTGATGTACATTGCTCCACATGTGTACTGATCCAAAAGCAAATATTTAGGCAGTAGTTAATATTCTTCTTTGACTAACCTGAAGCTTGACTATCTTGAAGTATGTCTCAGATCACCTGTTGTGTAATTGACCCATGCACAGTAGTTTTTAAATAACTTTTGTGTGATAAGCTTTAAATTTATGAGCGAGAGAGAGAGAAACTTCATTTACTGGTTCACTTGCAAATGCTCACAATAGCCTGGGGTTGGATCAGTCCAAAACCAGGATCTGGGACTTCACACGGGTGGCAGACACCCAACAGCTTGAGCCATCACCCACTGTACCGCAGGGTGTACATTAGCAGGAACTTAAGATCTCAACCAGCGATTTAATCATTCTGCCACACACCTGTCACTTTTTTAAGATCTCTCATATATATGAATTTCCTTTTTTCTTTTTACACAAAATCAGCTCATCAGTTAATTCCATTTCCATTATTTTTTTTAAATACCCTTGAACATTTAGGAAAATCAAGACTTGGCTTGGGGGTTATGACAGAATGTCAGTATTTCTACCCCGATAGAAACAGCAGCTGTATAGAACTGTCTGAATCTATAGCAGTGTCTTCCGGCAGAGTTCCTTAATGTCTCTTAGCACTTCTAACAGCTGGGGCTTGCTCTTGCTCTGCTGTGGAACTGTCCTTGCAACTAGCTGTTTAGCAGCATTGCTGGCCTCCAGGCACACAGCACCAAGAGCATTTACCCCTTCTAGTTGGAATAACTAAAAACAATTCCAGCCATTACCCAATATCTTGTGGGACACAAAAATGGCCTCAGTTAGTCTACAATTATGCTTTGCCTTAGTTAACAGATGTCTTAAAATCTTTTATCTTGAATTTAGTTTATCCTAAGAAAAGACAATGCAACAAGCAGATGCCAGTTAATTTTTACTGTGTGTGCTAAGAAAGCTGATATTCTTTTATATAATCAAGTCTTTTGTAAAGAAACACAATAACTAGTAGAGAAACAATGGAATAAATAAGGTCTCACCATTTTATCATATTCATAGTAGGAAAGGCTTGTTTTGGTTAAAACAAAAAGTCGCTCTTTGTAATTATTTGGAGACATTTTCTTCTTTTGCTGTGACCTTTTGAGAAGAAGTTCTTCTAGAATGGATTTTGTCTCCAGATTATCATCCTAAACAAAATAAAATGTTTAAAATGAGGATTTACAATACCCACCTAGATTTTATTTTAACCTTTCTATTTTTAAGTCAATTTTTCTCAACAAGAAATTGACTTGGTTTTATAAAGTACATACATATACATATTTTTATGGTCTTTGCTGTAAGTCCTAGAAATATGTTGATTTTGTAGAATTTTATGTATTCAGCTCATCTCCCACGCAGGATCATAAATTCATCACCTTTGAACTGCCTTCCAGATCAGCTTCTCAAAATGCACTTTATTCCTAAAATATTGTGGAAGTGTTTGCTGAATTAGATAGGATATCATCCAACTTTATGAAAAGGCAAATTCCAGACAGCCAATACATACATATACATACATAATATATGTATGAAGCAATTTATCAGTTGAAATTTCTCTTCATTTACGTGGCCAAGAGATATAACGTAGTCATCCAAACCACTATGGAATGTTGCGGATATCATAGTAAAAGACACTCACAGCTCCTGACCGTGACTGTATCTAACATAAAGGACATGTGTATAATTGACAATAATTCTAAGAATTTAAAATCCAAATGAATACCCAAGACAGAACACAATGAGAAAACTATGAGAGTGCAATTTTAAAGCTGCTGTCAAAAGAGATGTAAAAGACTTGGGAAAATTACTATTGCATTTACAAGGTGAAAAATACTCTGTGGCTTTCATCCTAAAATCATCTAAAAATTAAAATGTAAGGTATTTCTGTCAAATATATGAATTTCATTTCTGGCTCTTCCAACCTTGTAGCTTCAATCTGCAGTATAACGCTAAACCTTAGAGTAAGCAGTAGGTCACAGAAGCAAGCATCCTCACGCTGTTTCTACTTTGTTAAACCGCGTCGGTCCTGGGCCTTCCATGCCCAGTAGCATCTTTGCAGATTGGTCATATCAAGTCTTAACACTACTTACCTTAGTCTTGCTAGAAGTGTACGTGTGTGGGTCCTTAAGCATAGTTCTCAAATTCTCAGTAAAAGTTACTGCTCAGAGGCAATATCATTCTGGTTCCCTCTGGCTATGCACAGGATCACGCATTCAAAAGAAGCATGCTGAGCATGGTTAGGACAAGGAAGTGAGCACACAGGCACTGATCCGTCTGGGTGAAGATGGGTGCCAAATGACTGTCCAATCACTGGAGGATCCTCACTGGCCCAGGAGCATGATGGGTAGCCCAACTTTGGTATGGAGACTAAGAACTACAGCTTGGTGTTGAATAAACCATGGTCAGCTCAGCCAGCTTTTCTTCTGACATAAACCACACAGCTCTACAGCAAGACTTGAGATTATTGTGATTACTTAGATAGATCAGGAGTCTGTTTAATTCAGGAAGTCTTCCAGAGGTGTTCTTTGATTTATGGACAGCTAGTGGTGGTCTTACTCAGCCAATGCAATGAAGTCCTAGTCTAGCTTTTTTTTTTTTTTTTTTTTTTTTTTGCTTTGGATATCATTTTATCTCTTTGAAAAGGGGTAATTATTTTTGTGAAACAAATTCTTCTTTTAAGCACAATGGATGCTATTTGTTGTGATCACTGGCAAAGGAGGAGTGTGGCAGAGCCTCCTCAGGGCCTCAGAGAGCACGCCTGCATCTCATCTCTGCCTCCACTGCAAGCTCAACACGCATACCTGCAGAGGTAATTTTGTGGCCAGAGGAGAAGTTGTAGAAGACTTCTGAGAATGATGAGGCCTGTTTTTGGTGAGTGACAGCTCCTTTCGGGGCAACGATACAACTGGTCCAAGCTGCAGGGCATTTCCTGTGTTTTATATCCCCGCAGTTAAAATTTTTACTAACAAAGCAGGAAAAGAAAACTGTGAAAAATCTTGCCAAATTTCTTTTATATTCCCAGCTGATACATGACTTCTCATAGTAGAGTATTAAGTAGATATGGTTGGTTGAATAGGAAGGTTAATTTTAAAGATTTATTTTTATTATTTTTTTATTGGAAAGGCGGATATACAGAGAGGAGAGACAGAGAGGAAGATCTTCCGTCCATGATTCACTCCCTAAGTGAGCACAACGGCCAATGCTATGCCGATCCGAAGCCAGGAGCCTCTTCTGGGTCTCCCACGCGGGTGCAGGGTCCCAAAGCTCTGGGCCGTCCTCGACTGCTTTCCTGGGCCACAGGCAGGGAGCTGGAAGGGAAGTGGGGCTGCTGGGATAGAACCGGCGCCCATATGGGATCCTGGGCGTGCAAGGCGAGAACCTTAACCACTTGCGCCACCACGCAGGGCCCTGGAAGGTTAATTTTAAAACTGGCTGTCGGGCCCGGCGCGGTGGCGCAAGTGGTTAAAGGTCCTCGCCTTGCACGCCCGGGATCCCATATGGGCGCCGGTTCTAATCCCGGCAGCCCCGCTTCCCTTCCAGCTCCCTGCCTGTGGCCTGGGAAAGCAGTCGAGGACGGCCCAAAGCTTTGGGAACCTGCGCCCGCGTGGGAGACCCACAAGAGGCTCCTGGCTTCGGATCGGCATAGTATCGGCCCGTTGCGCTCACTTGGGGAGTGAATCATCGGATGGAAGATCTTCCTCTCTGTCTCTCCTCTCTGTATATCCGCCTTTCCAATGAAAAAATAAAAAAAAAAAAAAAAAAAAAAAACTGGCTGTCAGGTAGTAAATCAATATGTGATATTATGACCAATTTTACAAATGCAAAACCCCATGTCCCAGCTAGTATGCAGTCTTTTCCAGTACTGTATGATGATACACACATCAAGATTGCCTTTAAATATTATATTAAATATGAAGAATTTGAGTCACAGAAAACATTGACAAATCACAAACTTTTCTCTGTCTACTAAAGGGAAGAAGACAATTGAGTAGAAAGAAAGATAACAAGTTGTTGAGCACATTCTCCAATAAATGTGTTAGGATTTACAGCCCTGATGCAGTTGATAAAATGCAGTGTCTCAACCCCCAACACAGTTGTTCATTACAAAACAGTCCCCTTTGTGAATGTTTTGCTTTCCCTTTTAAATTTGTTTTTATAAAGGTTTGTTCTACAAAACCAAGATCTATAGACAAAAGGAAAAGAGTAACACACCTCTAGCAGCTTTCTCTTCAAGCAGATAATATGTGTGCATGCTTATTTTCACAAAGGGTTCAAGCACTGCGCACGTGGGCCTGCAGTATGCTGTTCTCATGTAGTACCCACCTGCAGCCCTGTGTCCCTGAGGTTGCAGGAGGCACAGCCCTGAGCTGGACTCCAGATGCTTCCCACACACTTGAAGAGCCCTCTGCTGCTCCCTCTCAGCCTCGGTTCTCTTTCTCCTTCTGCTTGTTTCTGCTCCTTCCTGGGCTTTCCCTTTTTCCTCTAAATGCCCAGGTTCTTGGTGGAAGGCATTTCTATGCTCTCACTTGTTATGGCAGCTCATAGTGTGAATTTTTAGAAATGCAATTTCTCTCTTCTTGTGTTGTTACAATGAACAGAGCTTAGCTGCTACCATTGTCCCAAATGTCAGTCCAGTGGCTAATAAACACTGCTCTGTCCATCCTTATTTAGAGGAGAGTCAGTTGTGAAGGTAAAAAAATATAATAATATAAAAAAACATTTTAAATAAAATGAGATCTTAAATCTTGTCTTATTAACCAGAAATGTATTTACATACAGAGCTGGTAGGATTCGGCTGGCTCTCAGATTACCACCCACATAGGACATACACATTCGTTTGGTTATCAAATCATCCATATAGCCTACTTGCATAAACACATGGAAGTAGAGACTAAAGCATAGGAACGGAAAAAAAAATGGGAAGGAATCAATAGAACATTTCCTATAAGGAAGTCAGGAACTAGTCATTAGGTAACCCATTACACTGAATGTGCAGATCGCATGAACATGACTTGGAATCACCATGGTTATCTGGGGTGTGTAAGGAAAATAAGATAACAAGAGTAAGAAATTCAATTTGGTCTTTCTCTTCAACACGCTTGACTTTGAGCCTATAGTGTACCCCACATTGAGTGACTGAGAGCAGAGATAAAAATCTGCCTTGAAATGTGAGAGATATGAGGGGTTTTCGAAAGGTTCTTGGAATTGCATATTGTAAAACAAATGAAATGTGGATATAAAAATGTTTGTACTGAAATAAACTTCATCTTTACATTTTATTTTTAGGAAACATTTTGAAAGTGCTCTTATGGAATTTTATCACCAGTTGAGATCATTGCAGGGTGGCAGCCTTAGAAAGTTCTAAGGAGGCTGTCATTTGGGAGCTATGTCAACTTGACCAAGTCCCACCCCTGCTCTAGCATTTAGTTTTCTGATCTGTAAAATGATTTAATTCAAAGTGCTCACACTTTGCATGGCTTAAATGAGAAATTTCCTGTGGAAAATACTTGGGCTCTAGATCATGACTAAGAAAGAGCGAGGCAAAAAGAAAGAATTCAAATGCTACAGTGGAGTCTATTTGCCTTTCTATCAGACCTACGGAAGGAAAAAAATCGGTTCTTTGTCTTAAGACAATCAAGAACGGTATTATGGAAGGGAGGCTTTTGAAATTGGATCTTGAAGGATGGGGATAATTTTACTGAAAATAATCCTTGTCACTCAACCTTTAATGAGAGCTGGCCCTTTGCTGGGTGCTACTTAGTACCCCTAACAGGCGTGAATTAGTTTGCTGAACACAACCCCCCAATGGTCTGCCCATCCACCTAATGGGGCAAACAGATACACACTTATACTCTGTGAGCATGTCCTAACACAGTCATCCTTGGGCAGGGGGCGATTTACATTAGTCCCATCTCACTATAGAATAAGGATATGGAATACAGAATACAGAATACAGAATACCATTCTGCCTTGTTTGTAGTGGATGAAGCTGTGATGGTTACATAAACTGCTCAGGTCACACTGCTAATGTAGTGGGACTGGGATTTGACAGTCAAATCCATAACTCACATTCTTGGCTACAATACTATTGTTAGAAAAGCACCTCTGGCTGGATGACCCTCTTGAATCAGAGAAAGTGCTATTCTAAATACAGGAAAACACAGCTGCTGGCAGCCCTAGAAACCATTTCAGAGCTGCAACGCTGAACCCCAACAGCCATGAACCTGAGAGCCACCGTCTAGGGACTCAACTTCTGCTGTTCTGACAAGCACCCCATTCATTCTGCATGGCAATAAACTGATGAAAAAGTCTATAGCTCCGGAGAAACGTACTACAGCATTACTAAGGCACACTGCTGAAAATGGGCATAGATTTGGGTTTGGTCAGATTCATGCAAAGGGTATTTTATTGGAAATAGGACCAAGATATCACCTATTATTTATCTTCCATCCAAGAACCCCCAATACAATGTTGAATAGCAATATTCTATCCTGTATTTTGAAAATAGATTCAAAAGCACCACCTTAAAATTAGAATAAATTCTACGTGGTGCAAAGGAGAGCAGGAGGCAGGAAGGGAAGGGAAAGAGGAATAGAGGGTTAAACGGGTCATTGGCTCATGTTTCCCACCAATTGGCTTTAGCTTTTACATCTGAGATAGGAATAGTAACTCCTTACCCCTTTACTTGATTCAGCTATCCTTTTTGATTTACCATGTCACTTAGGTAAAGATACAACAACAACAACAACAACAACACCAAAAAACCAGGTAGACTAGAAGGGGAGTATAGGGAGGGAAAGGACAAGAAGCAGAGGGAGTGGAAACTGTAGGACTTTTCCTAAAAGGAAAGACAGAGGATGTTGTGATAAACTTGGCTAGACCCCCTTATCTTCCTGCTAAATAACTGACAAAAATACAATGATGAGTTTGAACATGAACAAAGAGTGTTAGCTCAGAGTCAGGCAAAGTGCTCTGAAAAGTCTTATGACCCTGGCCAAAGATAAACAAACATTGCCACCTGAGTTTATGCAGAGAAGTTGCAGGAAATGGTAGCATGGCACAAAAAGAAATTGCTTTAACCTCAACACTTAAATTCTCAGTGTTCTGGAACACCACAGCTTTGTCGTTCCCACACAAAATTAGGAAAACTAGACACCTTGGGAAGACCATTTGCCCATCAAGAAAACAGTGCTCTTCGCATCGGAGCTAAGGTTTGTGTTAATTAAGCCTGAGATTCATCTCCCCGCATCCTTCACAGAGAATTTCTACACCCTTTCCCCTTTTCCGGTGACCTCTCTCTTGTCCCGGGCACTCTTCTCCACAGGCACCTCCTTGGGAGGATCGTCAGAGGTGATACATCCACAAGCTAACAGCTGTTGCTGAATTTGTTGTGAGCACAAAACATTGCTTAAGGTGGAGCAGGTTAGTGTGGGTGAGAGCACCGAGCTTCAGTGGGTTTAAGGCCCCGCATGGGTTCAAGTCCCCCAGCATGTTACTTACCCCTCCCAAGCCTCAGCTTCCCCCTCTATGAAGAGACTGTGGCAATAGCCACATCGAAGGTTACCGAAAGTCAAGAGAGAATGGTGGTACAATGCCCGGCACCCTTGCAAATATTCTGTAAATCTACGTACCTTTTCTCACCATTATATAGGCAAAGTTAAAAAAGAAAACAAAACAGTGTAGTAATGCTAAGAAGCTAAGGACAATGACTTGGTTCTCAATGAGGCAATCTGTCTTCCCCTGTTCCCTGCCCTCTGCTCCTGGGGATAGGAAATAAGAGGAGGCTGGAAGACCTCCGCAGGCATTGTCAAGTTCGCCAGCACCTACTCTATGGGGTCACTACGCATACTCCATCCTGGGGCTAGATCCCTGAAAATCAGCAGGAACCAGCCTCCTATTGGCTACTGTATTTGTGTGACTGCATTTCTTGCTAATGAATACTTGCATGTCACCCGCAGCACACTTTGCACACTGACAGCATGGACATCCCTAGGGAGCCTGCCGGAGAGCACACTCTCATTTGCTATCTGAGGCCTAATGACTTGGGGTTTGCTTTTAGCAAGGCCCTCAGGCAATCCATGTGCCTGTGAGAGTGTGGAATGCATTGATTGCAACCACCGGACACCTGTTGCTCTCTTTAAATCCATTGCAATTATGGCAGTTCGCAGAAATTTCCAAATTGCATGGATGTGGGTAGCACTTTGTGGTTCATCTTCCTCTTGCCTTCCCATCTGCTTCTAAAAACGCTCCGGAGGGCCTGACTTAGGAACCTAAGAGTAAACATCTGCAAGTAAAACAACATTATTAAAGCACAGAGAGGGTAAAAGTGACATTTCTGTTATCTCTTTGGAAGGAGCTATGAAGCCAACACACAAAACCACGGAAGGGCCATGGGAAGAATCAGCAGAGGAGCGAGCTCAAAGCCTGATGGCTCTTTTGAGTTAGAATTTGAGTGAGGGGCAAATTGGCCACAAAACCATGGCAGTTTTAAACCTCTGATCCCCAAATGACACAACCCCATGCGAAGTCCTCAATGAGTGCATATTCCTAGCCTTGTGCTATTTTTAGGCTACATTTTGTACATTTCAGGCCCCACTACAACTTGGATTCGAACCTGTTTTCCCGTAGGGTATGACACAATGCCAACGCACCATTTTGACGTGTTCCTTCGTCTGGGTTCACCGCGGGGAAGGGACTCTGCAGGAACAGCTGCACTTCTCTCTCCTGCAGCAGCAGTAGCAAACTGTCTCACATTTTCCCCACTGCTGGGTCACAAATGGCTGCACACCTCAGTGCCCCCAAATGGGTATTGTCCTGTGGCGCCTGACACAACCCTACAGGAAACCACGCTCAGCACTCGGCCAACACTTGCTGATCTCACCGAATGCCACAAAAGCAGACAAAGGCATATTTCAGAAAGGTTCCAGCTTTGGTAACTGCAGCTCCTGCTTTTCCCAGGCAGCTCTCGGGTGCATGTGATAACCCTGCCCTTGTTTACAGAGCTCTGTGCTGGAGAGGGAGAAAATGCCTCAGCGAGACCCGACTCCGGATGCTGACTTCTCTCCCAGTAGTCAGGAAACCATTAGGTAACACCAAGTGCGCAGAGGATAAGCAATGAAAACTTCAGCTCAACACTTGGACAAAGGGGCACCAGAGAACACAAGAAAAGGATGGTTCATATGGCTGAAAAAAGTGAGCTCATTTCCACTCAAAGCTTGGCAGACTAGAAACTAGTTTAAAATATTAAGAAATCCAAAAGAGAAAGTATTGGTTTTGCTAATGTGTAATGCACCAAGATTGTCATAAAAAAGGGCCAGTGTCGCTTGTCACCATTGAGACCACATCACAACTTCTGTCTTTATCGCTTCTACCATGTTCTCTGGTGCGCACCGGCTGCTCATAGACTCATAAAATAAATCTAATGATATATTTTAGGCTCTGCTGTGGATAGTCAAGGAAATTAATCACCCCTTTGGCACGAATGAAGTACCGTGCTGATTTCCAAATTGTTGGACACGTTAAATTATTTGTAAACATCTGTGATGTGAGTTTGAGTTACCAGAGAAGTGTGATGCTTCTGACTTCCAAAGAGCTCTTCTTTTGTCATGGACACAAGCTCAGGGTCATTTCTATTCATTCAGTCAGTTGGTCAAGTCTCATTGAGAATGTACCATGTGCTAAGCATTCTTTAGGGGCCAGACACACAACAGTCAATAGAACGGAGCAGCCCATATTTCCAGGGGGCTCATGTCTAGTGCAAGAACCATGAGCAGCAGTTCATTAAGGAAGTCTGAAAAATAATTTGCAGAAATGTCTCTAATATTTTGGTTTGGAAGCTAGAATTTGGGGAAGGGCAAAGGGTCCTTCAGAAAAAAATGAAACAAGTGTAAATTACAGCCTGACTGTAAATAAAGGTCACAGATGAATTCTGAATGGTTTACTCACCTCTCAGGATGAAGTACACAGTCATTTGAGAAACAAAGATAAATATAGGAACAGTAGCCTAACAACCTGGCCAGATCAATTAATTGCACACTCTGCTAACTCACTTCCTTTCCCACACGGGGATGTCTATTGACTTCTATCTGGTGACATGGCCAAAGGCGGCGGTCTAGCTGTGGAAACGCTTGCACCCAATCTTTCCGAATTTCCATCCCTTCTTGGAATTTAAAGCAGTCAAGGGCAGCTGGGAAGAGTGGTTTCCTCTAGGTAAAAATGTCACCGATTTTATTTACTTGTTCTATTCATTTACTTCCTTTGCTGTGGGTCCTGAATGTTTGTTTGGCTCTGGATTTTCTAGGTCTTTAGTGAAATTCTGCCTTTTGGCTACCCATTACAGCAATTGTGATGTAAGTGACTGGAATTCTAGTTCGCATTATCACCTTCAGCAGGGAGCCCTGTAGGGATCGCCATGCCAGCTCTTAGCAGGCAACAGTTAAAGGGGCACAACGTGGGGCAAGAGGACTTCAGCACCCCACAGGATTTTTCACTTGTGGTGACATTTTTAGAACAAGAAAGAACCTGGTAATATTGAGAGAGAGAGAGAGAGAGAGAGAGATCCGAGTTGTGGCTAAATTCTAAGAATTCATTAGATGCACAGCTTAAACACCATCTATATACTTCTTATTCCCAATGGTAGTCAGGATATCTCCTGTCTTTTTGAGATGGATATTTCACTGCCAATGTGACCCTCTATATTCAAAATATCTGATAGTCTTGTTGAACTTAACCCTTCCAGAGCTGCTCTTCTGATGAACCCTTCAAACCAGCAAATCTGCTTGTTGGCTAATAACGACTCCATGCTCCTAGTCGCTCAGGCCAGGCTGTGGAACCAGCCTCTCCTCTCATGTCTCCTCACACCCAGGGCTCAGTCCTCCAGGACGTAAGATTAACTCTAACTTCAAAATGAATCCCAAGCTGGGCCACTTTGCCAATATCTGCACTGCTACCTGCTGGGAAAATGTCCATCAGCTGGGACACTGCACTGGCCTCGTGTTCCCCCTTCCCCCACTTCCTCTGTCTGCAGCCTGTTCTCTATTGAGTGGCCAAAGGGAATCTCTCAAATAAGTCAAATCGTGTGTGTCTCTGATCTGAATGCTCCAGTGCACCTGCTTCCTTTCTGGTTCCCTAGTTCTATCTGTTAACATCATCTAGTCATGAGTCCACCTCGTCTTACTGCTCCTAGAAACCCAGCTTGCTATTCTTTCGGTATTCTGAGTATCTTCTGCCCCAGGGCCTTTGCATCAGCCACAGTCCTTGCTTGGCACACTGATCCAGATATCTGCTTGGCTTATTTCCTCATCTCCAGTCTCTGCTTAAAGCAGTGTCTTCCTAATAAGCTCCACTCTGACCACCACCCTGCATCACCCTATGGCATCACCACCCACCCACCCAGCACTCCCAAGCTCCCTCGCCCTGATTTTCTTTTCCCCATAGCCCTTATCTCCTCCTAACACAATGTGTAATTTCCTTATTCAGTGCTTTCAGGCCTGTCTCACCTCACTAAAGAGTGAGCTCAGAAGGGCTCCAACACTTGTGCTTGCACCCGGAGCTTTCCCATCTGTGCCTTTATTGAGGCTTCACTCATCACCTCCTGCACTGTTTCCTTCTGGTGCTGATCTAATCGACCTAGAGCTGGGGATCGGATGTGGCCACTCACACTTACTGGAACTGAATACTAATGTGGGAGAGGGAACTGGCAGTGGACATGCAAAGGGTTGTTGTTTCGTTTGTTACGACCTTTCTGTTACTGGCACAGCTCAGTGGGTTCGTTCCTGAGCTTAGTATAGAAGTAAAAAACCTGGAATCAGATGCAGAGAAGCTTTATTTGTGAGGTGACCAGGTGAACGAGAGTGAAGTGGAAAGCACCTCAGGAGAGAAAGCTGGGAGATGGGGTGCCTCTTGAAAGCAGAGGGGGAGAGACACCAAAGGAGGGAGGAAGGGTCTTGGGATTTAGGCCTTCCCTGACCCCTTCTTGTCTGGGCAGGAAGCTACGGGAACATGTTGGGAAATGGCTGATTCTTATGCCACGCATTTAGGGGTGTGGCCAAGATCTTAGCAGCCTTGGAAGTTCTCACTTTCTTAACACCTATGAAATCTGTAGACTTGACATTTTATCAGCTTTGCTCCCTCCCCGCACCTCCCCCCCACCAGCACCATTTTTGTAGTGGGACTTTGAGCACCACTTGCCTTTGTAAATAAAATTTGTTAGAACACAGCCACCATTTATTTATGTATGGTAATATTTTGAAATATTTATGAGATTAAGACACATGTTTCATTTGATGGAAAACAGTTTTTTGAAATCTATGCATATGGAGGATATTCAAAAAGTTCATGAAAATCACTCATGGAAAAACTGGATTTCAGGTTCTTGCACTAAAATAAATTTACCTTTTTTAAAAATTAGATTTATTTATTTGTTTGAAATACAGTGAGAGAGAGAGATCTTGTGTCCTTTAGTTCTGTTCTCAAATGGCAAATGGCTGTCAAACAAGATTTATGCATTTTTATTGCAAAGTCAGATATATGGAGAGGAGGAGAGGCAGAAGGAAGATCTTCCATCTGGTAATTCACTCCCCAAGTGACCAAGGTGCTGTGCCAATCCAAAGCCAGGAGCCAGAAACTTCCTCCAGGTCTCCCACGTGGGTGCAGTGTCCCAAGGCCTTGGGTCTTTTCCCACTGCTTTCCCAGGGCACAAGCAGGGAGGTGGATGGGAAGCAGGGCTGCCGGGATTAGAACCGGTACCCATATGGGATCCTGACGTGTTCAAAGCAAGGACTTTAGCTGCTAGGCTACTGCGCCGGGCCCTCTATGTCACTTTTAATGTTCATGTGTACTATCTCATTTGGCCTTGAAGCTTCCCAATGAGATGGAAAGGGTACGTTTAAACCCCACTGATTTATATGGAGTCCAAGGAAGTCTTTGGTCCTTCCGAATATACTGTCTCTTCAGAGCAGGTGTCTACAAATTAGACTTGCACCAACATGGATAGCCCGGCATCTATTTTTGTTTAGCCTGCGTGAAAAGGATGCAAATTACAAATTGTATAAATCATCCACATTTTCATTTTAACATCTGTAGTTAAGTTGCATGGAGATACAGTCTCACCCATTTATTTCAGTGTTCTCTATGGCTGCTTTCTTGCCACCAAAGCCAAGTGGAACGTGCTCCACAGAGCGCATCAGTGGTCCGCCAAGGTGGACGCACTTCCAGAGTTGCCTACTTTCTTCTAGAGGCAGTACGCCTGTGCTTTCTTAAGCCCTAGTGTTGAGACAAGAGGCCCACTGCCACATTTGCCCTCTGCTTCAGCAGCCTGCCAATGAATCAGACCTGCTACTGGCCTGTAGCAATTGGTCATTCTCCCGGGCAAGGTCCTGCACGTCTTCTCACTATAGTCCAGCAGCCCAGCTCTGGCCAACTGGTTTGCCCCTGCAGTGTGCTCTCTTCAGGCAGGCCCAAGATGGCTTGGTTCAGTCTCCACAGCAGGGCAAATAGCAGGCGATTTCCTTGGGGCCGGCCAGGCTGGAGCCCCGCCTCCTCCTCCCCGCTGAAGCTCAAGTTCACAGCAAGTGGAGCAGCAGGACAGGTCGGAGTGCCTGCTGGGGCCCGAGCCAACCTGGGCCGCACAGGCCTCCCGGGGCCCGCCCGACGGCCCCCCAACTGGCCAGGATGGGCCCTCGGTGCGCATGGGGCCCGAAGGGCAGCGAGGTGGGAAGGGCGGGGGAGCCGCGCGCACCAGGGGCGTTCCCGCAGCGCCGTCCCCGCCCACGCGCCTCCCGCGCCACGAACGGCTGAGTCACGCCCGGCGCCCCGCCCCGCGTCGGAGCTCCGCTGCCGCCGCCGCTGCCGCGTGAGTGCCTGCGGCCCCGCGCGGGTGGGCCGGGGGAGGGGGGCAGCAGCCAGCCACATCCCGCTGTACACAG